TAAAAGAGTAGGCAAAAAGTCCCCGGACGACCTACTATTTCCGGCGAGATTCTGAAGTGTACATGGACTCTTTACTATCCCATGAGGGCACGGGAGAGGATTTGTGAATGGCAGTGAAGAGAGACAACTGATGCTGGTAATTCATGATAATCACATGATAATGACCACATGACAAATGTAGTACATCCAGATTACATTCATACTACACTCAAGACTATAAATACTTTATAAATGAAATGTAGGTCAAATCATGTATTATGTGACCCAAATCAATCAATAGTGCTTTTCAATGCTCAAATTGATGGTTCCTTGTTTCCTTTCTCCTCTCTTCTCCAGCCTGTGAACCAGAAAGTGAACAAACTTAGCCATCTTGAAGGACATCTCAATTCTCCAACTGCACTATGAGGAGGTGAGGAATGAGAAGCAAGGACGGTCCCTGAGGAGGCATGAGGATAAACAGGTGATCCTTCCCTCGCATCCTAAGTGGGTGGAGCTGAAACGCAAGGGAAGGAAACAATGGTGCACCAATAAGACATGAGAAGCACCCAAGCTCTGTCTCATTTTGAAGGATCCATCCTACCGCTTCATTTCAGTAAACTAACCACTACATTCCAAATTCATTAAGAAATAACAACAATTTATGCTTCACTATAAGTAGGACTAATTAACAACCAAGGAACCTACTAATGACAGACAAATCAGTTAAACAGGAACAGGGGAAACACCACCAAAATACAAAGAAACTAAATAACTAAACTAAACATACCAAACAACTGACATCAAGGCTCCCCCCTCCCCAAGAAGACATGTCCTCGTACCTTAAATGAATTGAGGGGGTCCAATTGAGGGAGGGTGGGGACTCTGGGGGAGGATGAGGGGAAGATGAAGGAGAGGGAACAGGAAATGCTGGCAAGATAAACTAGGGAGGCAAAGTCAAAGGAGGGAGGAGGCATGATGGTGACGTAGGTCTAACCAGGGGGGTGACAGACAGAGGTGATGGAGGTACATGCGTAGCTGAAGAGCAGATAAGACCTATGGATCAGGATACCAATGCGAAGCCGGAGGGACAAGGGCGCCCGGTGGAGCCATAAGGACGACGGTCCCAGGTGGAGCCGAGGGAGGGAGAAGCCACATTGGAGCTGACAAGTCGACTAGCTGAGGTGAAGTGATGGGCTCGGCAGCTGGAGGTGAAACCTGCAGGGAATCTTTACGACCAGGCAGAACTGGAGACTGGAAGACCTGAGGCAGATCCATACAGCAGAGTGGAGTCAGAGGAGGAGCAAAGGGACTGAAGGGAAACAGTAGAGGTGGGGCCGGAGAACTGTAGGCAGAGGCAGGTGGGAAAGGAAGGCTGGGTGGGATCACTGGAGACACGGAAGACTTGCAACTTGACAAAACCAACTGAGATACTTGGAGCTGGGCGGACCAGTGGAGATGCAGAATACTTGGAGCTGGATGGACCAGTGGAGACGCAGAATACTTGGAGCTGGACGGGACCGGTGGAGACGCAGAATACTTGGAGCTGGACAGGATTATTGGAGACAAGAAACAGGAAAATATCATCTTACCATTTCCTCATATAATACAGATGCCAGTTGCAGCTCACCCTCAGTGATGGGAGTATGGGCGGGGCTCTACTCCATGCCTTCAAACTCCACAAGGACACCCACAGTGATCGTTGGTGCAGCTGGGTTATGCATCTAGTCGCACTTTTTGTTGGGCTGGTATAATGCGTAGATTTTTTTTGTTGTTGTTATCAATACATTTAAGAGAGTCAATATGCAAAGAATTCGATCTTAAATTCCCCATGAAAATTGAATTTAAGTTTTTTGGCTTTTAGTATGAATATGTTAGCGTTATGTTTTCTAGTGTTCTCAAAAACAATGACAAAATTTGCATTTAAGATATAAGCATCCAAAACTTGCAGTTTCTCAATATGGATCAGTGATTTTGATTACATCACTCTGCAATTCAGCTTCTCTTCAGATTTCCTGACCAATCAAATGCTCTCCAGAATCTGAAGCTCCGCCCTGGCTGAAACAGTCACTTGTTCACACATTTACTATTTTCTATATGTTGAATGGCACATAGTTCACTATATAGGGGATAAGGAGTGATTCAGACAGTGTAAATATGTTCTGGGCGAATGAAGTCTGGTTTCATGTTAGTGTCACTTGAACCGCCGCAGCTCCAGTCCAGAGACACGATACACAGAGCAGGTCATGAGAGTCACACAGAACAGAAAACATATCAGACCAGTTTGAGTTCTGCTGATAATGCTGTATTGTATTTTAAAGCGATATGGAGAAAATCAGGTGGAGAAAGAGGACACTCAGTTTTACTGAGCTCAATGGCTCTGTCCGAGCTGTGATATGAACTAAACTCTATTGGCTATTTTAGAAAAGGGGAGGGGCTGTTTGATATGTCCTGCCCTCTTTTCCTGTTTCAGTGGAAATTACCATAGACAGTAAAAGAAATGGACACAGCGACCCCATTGATTTCAACGGAGAATTGATTGCACTTCCTGTTTGATGTCTGAACAACTGCGCAGGCTCAAACTGAGCGTGACGACATCTGACAGTTGAAAATCTTCTAGTAGCTATGCCAAGACAAATCTGAATCACCTAATTCCTCAAAAACATTGTTGAAATATTTTGTCCCGTTGCTTTTATGGACTCTCTATTTATGTGTTTCTACCCTGACTTTGTGCCTTCATGTCCCTCCAATTGCCTCATATGGGCTATATGCACGCATAAGTTCCGCATTTGACGTAAGGATGCTCGTCCATTTCCGGTTGTGTAGATTAAAGCGGAGGAAAACCGGAGAAAACGGGATTATGGCAGAGTCTTCAATATGTACTGTCCTCCCGTCTTTGAAACGAAACGTATACATACGTTTAGATGTAATTTTATATATAGTTATGTTTATTTAATATAATTTTAAAAAGAAGCATAAACACAACGAGGGGTGTCTGTTTTATCTGTTTTTGTGACTATAACGTTTCATTAGTATAACCATGGAGTATAAAATTCAATATAAATTCTCGGTATTGCATTGGACTCTATGATCGATTCGGCGGAAGTTATCGAGCATCCTTAATCCTTCACCGGAAATAACGCCGTGCATAGAGCCCATTGCCTGCGAGGTTCTCCTCCTGTCTATATGGTAATGTCTCTATTGTGCAACAGAAAGTCCCTGTGGTTATGATGCAATCTTTAGCCTATTTTTACAAAAACGGCTTCGACGGGGCCGTAACATAAGATACAAAGTAATGGAGCATTTTATACATTGTCATGTTTCTTTAGAAATAAATAATGGACAACTGAAGTCTTTGGACGCCTCAGATGTAAAGTTATTCACTGTCAAAGGCCAAAATGAATGGGAGTCAATGGGATGCTAACAGCAGGTGAAGTTTTGCTACAATGGCGGCTCCCACGAGCCTTCATCTTCTGGCTGATGGATTACCCCCTTGGAAATTACCGAGGGGGTAATCCACCAGCCGGAAACTGAAGTCTCACCGGGGGCCCTCCATTGGCTAGCAAGCCTTCACCTGCTGTTAGCATCCCATTGACTCCCATTCAGTTTGGCCACAGTGAATAACTTTACATCTGAGGCATTTAAAGACTCCATTTGTTTATTTCTAAAGAAATACGACAATGTATAAAAGGCTCCATTACCTTGTATCATAAGTTATGGCCCCGTAGAAGCAGTTTTTTTGTAAAAATAGGCTAACGATTGCGTCATAACACGTGACTCTGTCGCACTGTAGAAATTACAGTATAGACAGGAGGAGAAGCTTGCACGCAATCGGGGGGACGTGGAGGCATAAAGTCAAGGGAGAAGCCCATAGTGAGTCATAAAGTTGATCCTGCTGCTGCTCATGTACAGCTAATACTCACTCTCTCCGCCTTTGTGAGATTTGGAAGGGAATGATTCAGATTCCTCTTGGCACAGCTACTAGAAGACTTACAGCTGTCAGATAGGTTGCTCGCGTCACATCTTCGTCATCAAGCTCAGTTTGAGCCCGTGCAGTCAGCCATCAGGAAGTGAGAGCTTCTAATGGGCTTCACTTTTCTCCGTTGAAGTCTATGGGGTCGCTGTGTCCATTTCTTTTCCTGTCTATGGAAATTACGTCAGCACATTGACTAATGCTGCATGTTTCAAGACACTTCAGGGGGTCATGTGCTGCATCCCAGATCATACTTCCCCACTATATAGTAGGCGAAAAACAGATTGTGACAAAAGAAGTAAATCTGACTGAATTCACAGTAGACTACTCATAAAAGAGTAGGAGAAAGTCCCCGGATTACCTCCGGCCAGACACTTACTATCCCATGAAGGCACAGGAGGGGATTGTGAATGACAGTGAAGCGATGTGGCACTGGTAGATGACTGACACTGGTAGATCACATAATAATGACAACAAAGTGAATGTAGTGCATCCTCTCCAGATTACATTCATAGGCCTACTAGGCAGCGCACATGCTATAGCCTACAGTGTAGGCTACTTTTTTTTACTGGTCGTGACTAGTAATGCAATTTCGGACGCAGCCATTATCACTTCTTCTGCTTTCATGAATATGGAATTTACTAAATAAAATCATAAGACTCGCCATAAGTTTATAAGATGCATCTTTATACTCAATATATATAAAAAACATATTTGCAAGTTATATCAACATGATGTCCAGATTTATTTTGAAAAATTATGAATCCTTCTAAAAAGTTTTTATTTTTAGAAGCGTATTATATTTTCTGTCATATCAATACAAAATAATCGGCTTTAATCGATATCAAAAAAATATTGATGAAGTGTATTACAGACAAACATGCTCATGAAGAATTTTTAAATGTACGCTAATTCTCGAATTTTGATAGATATACAAAAACGCAAACTTTCCCCCATGTAGTCTAATAAGAGAAACAAGCATCCCTACGGATCTTTTCTTATATAACAGCCGGTTCCGCGGGAGCTCGCCGCGGCCGGGTGACGTCACAGCCCGGGGTTTCTCTCTCTCTGTGCTCGAGCGCGTCATGGCGGAGAGAGACCGGCTGGTGTAGGATTTACAGCTGAAATATGCCTGCTATCCTGTCTGTTTCCCGGCACATGGAATACACTAAAACTGTTTAGCAGTTGATCCCAAGGCACTCTTGACCGTGGAGGGGAAACTCAGAAACTCATCTCTCAGAGTAAAGTGTGTAAGAGTGTTTTTGTGGAGTTCTCGAGCGACAGCGGCGATCATCAGAAAGAGTCCGCGGGCAGCGCGCACACAGGCGGGCAGGTAACACATCAAAACACCTTCAATATGACCGCACTTGTGCGCAGAACGTGATGGACGTAGACGAGAAACCGGTCGTGGCCGGTTATTCCCTGTTATTTGTCCGTATACTGCTCGGGATGCTGTGTTTGGGTGTTTTAAGAGCTAATGAAAACAAACCGATCTACAGAAACGCAGTGCGGGAATCAACAACATGATGATCAGACAATATTACGCTGAAAACACCTGTATTTCAGTGCGTACATCTGGTCGTGAGACAAAATCCACGAGTAGAGTATCGCAACTGCTTGTTTTAAGGGCTTAAGACAAGCCAGCTGATTTTATAAGCAGAGTGTCCCATAAAATCAAACTCCAGTTGAGCGAGGCTGCTCGTTTAGCTTAGCACGCGTAATAATAGCTGGCTAAACAAACAAATAATGTTTATTTGAGAAAGATACGATCTAAATGGGGTCTGAAGGTTGTTATATTGTTGCTCTTATCAATTTTATGTGTACACTGTTCTCCAATAGCTTGACTGTGTTAGCGACCGGTAGCCAAATAGCTAACACGCGCTTCTCGTTTAGCTTTAGCATGCTAAGCTAAGTTAGCATTGCTACAACAGAAAGAGACTGATGAAAGATTTGAAATGTAGCGCCAATCCATCGCGACAAGTAGGGCAAACGATCAAAACATTGTCCCAAAATATGAATTTGTGATGTGAAACCTATTATTAAGACTGGATGAACTTCATGACAACTGATATTTGTAAATGGCCTTGAACATAAAGGTGACCCGACAGTAATGCGCGCCTGTGCCCGAGCATGGCGCTGCTTCAGGGGGCCGTACAGCGCAGGATAGTCCGCGGCTTTTTAGGCCCGAACCTTGGAGGCCTCTGCGGTCAACATCACACTCAGCACTTTCATTCATTAGGCAGTGCTTAAGATTTTGCTTTACATAAAAGAGAAACTTCTGTACGATTCGTCTGTGGATTTTGCGTGCGGTTTGTCACTAAAGTACGCATATTAACGATAAAAACAAAGTTAAGTGTTTTGAAGAGAGGAAGAGAAGTAACCTCTTTTAGAAGCAGTTGGTGTTATTGCCTATTCCTGCAATATCATGACTACAATACTGAGGAATAAACAAATACTGCACATCATATGGAAACAAATGTTGGCAGTTTTCTACATTCCTGCTACTGTTATACTAGCAAACAAAGGTGTTTCTATTTGTTACACTGTTTAACCTTTCTAAAAACTAGCTGTTAAATAGTTTCAGCAGCATAGTTTTGTTCATCTCAGATTCTCAGACTGCTTCAGACTTGACAGTAATGTTTACTTGTCAGTAATGTAAACATAAGTTGAGTCACTTTGACATGAACCTGTCATTTGCGTGAGCTTCTGTTCTAATTACAACTTTACTTTCTGTTCAGGTGAGCTGCTCTGAGGTGGCGCACGCAGACTGTACGAATCTCATCAGGGATTCATCTTTAATATTTGATTGAGATGGATGCACGCAGTGAGGATGAAAGTGTCAGCAACAGTAGCGGCGAGTCCAGGTAATCGCAATACATGCCATTTCCATGTTAAAGGAAGGATTAGTTTGCTTGTGAACGAAAATTTCATTTGCTTGCATTCTCATTTTATTGTCTGCAGTCAAAGAGAAGCTTTTAGGTAGAATATTTCAGCTTCTTTATCCGTACTGTGAAACTGGATGTTTATTCATACTGTCCAGCTTCAGAAAAGACAGACTCTTGCAGTGGACACTGCTTCATTGATTGTTATTTGAGCCATTTACGTTTGATGTACCGCTAAGCATCTGTTGTAGACGCTGTTTGACAGCAGACTTTCACATCAGAGCATCTCAACATCCTACGTTTGTTCACACATAGCATCAAAATGAACCATTACATGTAACGGATCCCAAAAGTATCAGCAGTTGATTGGCATGCCAGACTACTTCAGTTATCAGTTACGCTTATGTTCCTCCATTCTTTCTCAATTAATAAATACTACACCTGTTTCTCCAGACTTGTGCTTGTCAGTCATCCATGATTTCAGTTCTTTTAAAATGCAGTCAGTGTTTTAATTAGTTCTGAAAAGTGATCTAGTCTTAAATTAATGCTGAATACTGAACAACGAAGCATGATACTTTGATTGACTTATGAGATGACAATGTCCCACCTGCTTGATAGAACTGCAGTTACTGTAAATAACTTTTTAAAAAAAAAATAAAAAAAATTTAGCAAAGTGTTTACAAAAGCAAGGACATTTACCCAATTAGTCGATTAGTATTTCCAGTACCTAGTCCTGATTTCACCACTAGCTGGATAAGTAAAAATATTAGGGCTGTCAAACAACTAATCGCATCCAAAATAAAAGTTTGTGTTTACATAATATATATGTGTGTGTACTGTGTATAATTATTTTGTATACAAATACACACACACACATGCATGTATATATTTAAGAAATACTTCCATGTATATACTGTATATATTTTTATATATGAAGAGTTCAGATGCAAAAGCCTCTAAGTGCCATTTGAAATTTTCTTCTAACATGATCATTTTTATCAAGCTTGTAAATTGAAGTTCAGTAATTTCACTTAAATGGGAATGAAGATTACCTTTTATTTGTCATTTAAGTGAAATTACTGAACTTAAATATACAAGCTTGATAAAAATGGTCATTTTAGAAGAAAATTTCAAATGGCATTTAGAGGCTTTTGCATCTGAACTCTTCATATAATTGATATTATATATAAATATTTATATATAATTTTTTTTCTTAAATATATACATGCATGTGTGTGTATTTATATATATATATATATAGAAAATAATTATACACCGTACACACACATATTATATAATCACAAACTTTTATTTTGGATGTGATTAATCGTTTGACAGCCCTAAAAATTATTAATACTATTTATTAGAGTAGATATTATTGTCGTCAATATGTTTATTTGTACAGAAAAATATGTTTATTGGAACATGAGGAGGAATAAATTAGACATTTCTAATTATGAATCCTAGTAATATTTTTCATGCTAATTATATTGTCTAATTATAAACAATGCTATTACTTAATCTGCTCACAGTTATTTATGGATAAAGGTAATTGATTTCATTGTGTTTGTGTCTCAGTAATTCAGACGATGAGTCTGGGTCAGGATCGGGTTCTGGCTCGGGCTCGAGTTCAAGCAGTAGCAGTTCTAGCAGTAGCCAATCAGGGAGCAGTGACTCAGGAAGTGGATCGGATTCTGGAAGCCAATCAGACTCGGACTCCGAGAAATCCAAAGGAAAGAATGATCAAGGCAACAAAATCGATGGAGCCGCGGTAAGCGTCATAAAGCTTGTGTGAAGTTGTCAATGCTGATCAGATGCTTTAAAGCCCATGCAAAAAATACTAGGGCGGGGTAAAAAATATAGATTTCTTGATTTTATTCAATTCTCATTTTGAAGAGCCGATATCGATTCTTGAATCCATATTTCAGTGTATGCTGTTTTCAGTTGATAAATATTCCATCCAAGTTCAGTTCAAGAGAAGCACACATGAACCGTTCATCACTTCCATTTAAATACCAGTTACAACACAAAATAAAGATGAATGAAATTGAACAACAAAGGCATTTGGCTAAATATATATACACTATATTGTAGGGCTGGGTAAAAAATATCGATTCAAATTTTTACAAACCAATATTTATTCTTAAATCCAAAGAATCGATTAGGCTGTCCTGTTTTCAGTTGATGAATGAATGAAACATTGTAGCACTCATCCCATCCAATCTTTATGCTTTGTTACTATTGATATGAAACAAAGTACACCCATTTCCTTACGAAATTCAAAAATATGCCATTTTGGCGCTGTGGCGTGAGATCAGCTCAAGAGAAGCAGCAGTTTATGATCTTCTCTTCCGCCTTTAATACGAGTTACAGCGTGAAATAAACATGAATGAGCGTCTGAAAGCGTGTTAAAAGAGAGTACAACTTATCGAAATCTGTCTGTATCATGTCGCATTAAATCGCTCAATCAGTGTTTCCCCCGTGGAAAGACGTTTGTAAAACAACTTTTGCATACAGTGTCAGTTAACGTCACATTTACCTCAAATGATAGAAATTATGATAAAAATTATTTATAGAGAGGAGTATTTTGCTAAATATATGCACCATATTACATATTCATTATCATTTTTAATGCACGTTTGAATAAATCTGGCAAGTTTGTATGACTGCCACCATTTAAATGTTTATATTCAATTTCCATATAACTTTATTATTATAAAAATAAATAATTGTTCCAAGTGTTTGTATACAAATCAGTATTTAATTATCAATATTATTGTAGGCTAATAATGAAGCCTATAGGCTACAACTGACCCCCATAGTTTACAGCATTAGTTAAGAGATTTGTTTTCCCTGAGAAAATTTGGTTTCGGTTTTCAAAAATATCAATATTGCATCAAATCGAAATCGAATTGAATTGTGAAATTTGTGTCAATACCCAGCCCTATTATATTGCATATTTATTATATCTTTAATTAACCTGTTCTGAAATATTTTATGTTTGAAATGCCTAAATCCATGTTTTTATGACAGCCACCATTTAAATCTTTATATTTCACAATACCAGTAGAAACATAATTATGGCAATAAAAATGTATTATAGCACTATTGTTATAATGTTATGTATTTCCATGTTTAATTTAAATGTGAGAAGCTTACAAATCTAATTTAACCCTTAATATTACAGTGATGTACCAACTGTGATTCCCTGTGTAGTTTACAGCATTAGTTGATTTCTTTGCCATGCACTGTATCTGATTGGCCCCAATCAACTGATATCGAATTCAATCAAATTTAAATCTAATCAAATTGCAAGCTTGTGAATCAAAATTGAATCATGAAGTTTGTGCCAATGCCCAGCCGTACAAAATTGACTACATTTATTCCACAAGCCCAATGTTGTCCACCAGACAGTGCAAATAGACTCACATTTGAAATGTAATAAGGCTTTGCTAAAATTAAATGTTTGGAGGTAGACATTTCTAGAGGAACAAACATGAACTCCTCTGAGCATAGCATATTTCTGTATCTTATTAAAATAAGAGACTTATTACATTTATATACAATTATTTTTATAGTCATGATGTTAGTTTTATTTATTAGACTTCCATTTCTGCCTATAAGATTGTTCTGTTTTCAAATGTTTACACCACTGTAAAGTGATGGAGCTGCAAATATTGTCCATGCACTACACACAAACCTGAATAATTAATGTAAATCATTCTTTTATTTTCATTAGATTATAGATGATCAATTAGTCATTAAAGCCCCAATTCCCTTTCTCGCACAAATAATGTTTCTCTCGCAAAGTACACAACTCCACTCTTGATCTATTTCAGTGAAGTTTGTTAATAACATGTTGTGCTGTAGTCCAGTTATCATAATACATAGTCAAACCAACATTTGACTGAGTTCATCATATTTTATCACCATTTTGTAAATTAGAGTTATCAGATCAGTGGATATTTCACTGGTTTTGTCCATTCTACTGTTAGACTCTCACACGTGAATATCTGTCCGCTGTTAAATTTAACTACACAATCAGATAATACCAGTTTAGCTCAACCAGTGACCAAGCAATGCTTCATGTTGTTCAGTCTGTGTGTAAAAAGAGCATTAGCAATTAAACTAAAACATGATCAGGTCGAAGTGTCTGAATCAATTTTGGTCCCAAATTTTAATAAATGTTACTGGTAGTCAATGTCTGAAGAATATTTGGGTGTAATATGTCACAGTTTACTTTATGTTGCTATCATCACTTACATAAATAAATTGTTTATTAATAAATGAATCCTTGTTTCCCCTTGCTGTAGTTTTGGAAGTCCAACCCCAGTATCCTGACAGTGCAACGGTCCGCCATGATCCGGAAGCAGCAGCTCCAGCAACAGCAGCAGGTCCAGCAGCAGAGCTCCTCCGGCTCAGACGAGGTACTGCACGCTCACCCCCTCACAGTCATCCTGGTTCCCCAAATCCCTCTTGTTTCTCACTCGTTCTGCTCTCTTATCGCCTCCAGGACTCTTCCAGTAGTGATGACTCAGATGATGACTCCAAGAGCAGGAGTAAAGGGTGAGTCGAGGGAAGCCGTCTGCATTAGTAAACATGAGGTTACTGCCTCACTCTGCATTTACGCTGGTGTTGTGTGTGTAGGTCTGGATCGGACTCCGGATCGGGTTCAGGAAGTGGCTCATCGGACTCTTCAGCAGAGGAGGAAGGGCACAGTGACGAGTCGGTGTCTGACTATGAGCCCAGTCACAAAGTCAAGAGCAGAAAACCTTCAAACAAGTACAGTTTTCACCTGATCTTGGTTCACTTTTGCTGTTTTATGTAGTGAGAAATGCAGTTTTTGCTGTTTTCTGTGGATGCGTGAGCAAAACTGCAACATTTGTTGCGCGCATGCCATCCAATAATCTCTACGCTTAGTTAGTTTTATATGAAACAGACAGCATGAAATTCTTTTGCCGATGTACGGTAATACAATATCACAATAATGAACATGCACGTTATTGTTATCACGGGCACTTCAAAATAAAATAGAAAAATATAAAATGGAAATGAGATTTGTTTCAGCGCAAGTTGCGCAACATTAAAATCCATTAAATTAAGTCTAATAAGATTATACAAAAAAGTGCATCGTTTTAAAAAACATTTTTAGATGTCATCCACTGTTTGGTGTCTTTTAAAGTGAACCTGAAATCAGAATTGACCCTTTCTGTGAACACCTTCTGTAATATAAAAACACCTTTGTGCTGATTCTCACAACATTTGTCACAGCCTCATTGGACACCGCACCATGTATAATAAGATTCATAATTCCAGTTACTACCTGCTGAATTTTGATTGAATGTGTCCTATTTCATTGAATGACTGTTATAGTTTTATAGTTTTCGCCATGGCTTTTTGTTTGTTGGAAAAAAAATTCTTTAAAAATGCTCCTGGCATTTTAAAATCTTTGAAAAAATAATTCCTTCTATTTTGTTGGTCACAAAAATTGGATAGCATATACATAACGCATCAAAATATTTTTTTATGCGTCATCTTTTTAACGGAAAAGCCAATACAGTTTTTGACGTGACCCATGAGTATTTTTATTTAACAACCACCAAGTCATTTTAGGCCAAATTAAATTAATGCAATACAGCACTATATAACAATAAAAACAAAGGTTGCCATCAAAATACAGGTACTCACAATTTCCACGGGATTCATGCTTTCAACCTTCGTGGTTTTAGTCATGCTTTTTCACATATGCTTGGATCCTAATGATTGGTGCTTATGGCTATTTTGTTTTGTAATTCTTTTTTAAGCAAACACTCCTTAACTGAACAGATCTGTTCGTCTCTCTCAGGGCCACTGCCAGGAATGGGAAAAATAACAAAGCTCCGAAGAAGAAGCCCTCGCACTCCTCCTCAGATGAAGACGACGATTATAAGAAAGCCTTGGCGGGGCCTCGGCGGCAGGCCACGGTCAACGTGAGCTACAAAGAAGATGAAGAAATGAAGACGGATTCTGATGACCTGGTGGAGGTGTGTGGAGAGGACGTCCCGCCCCCAGAGGAGGACGAGTTCGAGACACTGGAGAGAGTCATGGAATCGAGGATAGGGCGGAAAGGAGGTGAGAACAATAATGCTGAACAGGGCTGTGCGATATAGCTAAAATATAGATCGCAATATAATATTTCATATCGTTCGGTATAGAACGATAGTATAGAAATGTGACTGCTTCTCACTGGATCTCGCAACAATGTTCTCACTTTAGTGGCGAATTCAAATGCTTTCTTTACTGGATTTCTGTGCACTGTGTTTGGGTTTCCAGCACCAAGTCCATCCTCGCAAAATAACACCAAATTTAGCATTTTAATTAACAGTTCAACAGTTTTTGTTGACCTTTTAACATATGTATTGCAGTATCGCAATATCATATTGTATCGAATTGTGACATGAGGGCAAAAAGAGAACAGAATCAGCTCGGGCGGAAAGTTTAAAAGGAACTTTTTAGTGACACCAATACTTTTGTTTAAATGTTGTCTGGTTTTTTAACAGCAACGGGTGCCGTAACCACAGTGTATGCCGTAGAGGCAGATGGAGACCCCAACGCCAACTTCGACCCCAACAGACAGCCAGGAGAGGTGCAATACTTGATGAAATGGAAGAACTGGTCCCACATTCACAACACCTGGGAGACAGAGGAGACGCTCAAACAACAGAACGTCAAGGGTATGAAGAAACTGGACAACTTCAAGAAAAAAGAGCAGGAGAAGAAGAAATGGTACGAAAGCTTACAGAAACCTCTTTTCCTGTTGGTAATTTGGCTTTAGATGTTCATTTTGTTCTTTTGCACTGCCGTCCACAGGCTCAAAGCGGCCTCCCCTGAAGACGTGGAGTACTTAAACTGCCAGCAGGAACTCATGGATGACTTGCATTCTCAGTATCAAATCGTGGAAAGAATCATTGGTAAGGTTTTCCAATTTTCATTGTTCTGATTGATTGTTCTGAGTCACGAGTCAAGTCCCCTTTATTTATATAGCGCTTTTTACAATACAGATGGTTTCAAAGCAGCTTTACAGTGATAACAGGAAAATAATGCAACAAAGTTTGTTTCTAGAAGAAAATAGCTTCACAGTCCAGCTTAAAGGAGCACTTCACCCATTTGCATTAAGCTTTGTATCCCTTTGAGACGGGAGAAACACGGATTTAAGTGTTGCAGTTCAATGAAGTGAAAATCGTCATTCTAAGCAGGAAGTCCCATATCTTTGTAGAGGGGTTGGGTCCCACTCACGCTACAGACTTTACTTGCAGAAACTAAAAGCAATATCCACCATCTTGTTTGGAAGCTAAGCTAACAGCCACTGTGGAGGCAGATGTGAAGTCACAACAATGGCGTGTTCGTGGCTACCTTTACAAGCCGCGATATAGCGAAGAGCAGCTGAGGCTGATGGAGGAACAATAAATCGCGGCAGAGGAGCCCGGACTGGCTCCAGCTGGGCGGACAGGACACAGATATAGAGTCCGTCTGCTGCAAAGAATTTCAACGATGCCAATTTCTCATGGACGAAATCAGACGAGGACACAGACGTTTGTGTTGTGAACCACCCTAGTTTCGCGGTGTTCTGGATTAGTGGGAGTGGCTTGTGGAGCTCTGCAATGTGGTGCATTGTGGGAGTTGTTGTTTTCCATAGAAATGTGCCCTAAAGTTACTTTCTGTCTTTCCTTGGTCAAGAAGGCACCAAATTCGAAATTTACGTTACATTTCTATTACATATATGACCCGCTTTCAATGAAGATTAATGTTCTCATGGGTGAAATGCTCCTTTAAAGGTGCTTTATGTATTTTTAGCGGCCTCTATGAGTGATGTTTCAGATTGCTACCAATTTTTACAAGAGCACTCTTGCTCGAACACAAGAGCGAGCTCTCACGGTACACGGCCACACTGAGAATTTCAACACACCACCGAAGAAAGCATCATACAAACATGCTGGAAACATGCAACATAGGTGAATGTATAATATGATAATGAAAACGGTTAGTGAACTAGACTGAACTATTTCAGTGTAACAGTAAGTTCGTAGGAAGTAACATTACTGTACTGAACGTGTCGGAAATGTATATTATAAACAACATGATCGTAGTGGAGTGAGTGACGTTAGACAGTAGATCTAGTACATAAAATAAGTTGCATCCTAAAGCACCTACTTTTTGTTATCCTGGAACAGTCTGTTGTGTTCATTTCATGTCTCGTGTATGTTGTAGTTTACCCTCGAATTTCATTACAGTTAACCATTATTTCAGCATATCTGAAAACTTGTAGTTTATCACAGTAAAATTAGCGGAGGTCTCCATAATTGAAACACTGTCAATGCGTCAATCCGAAAAAAAGTCAATCCGATTCACGTTTGGCCTGGCGAGCTTTAGCAGATATATTTTTGTTTTGTTTTTATATTTATGTGGAGTTTGTGTTTGAGTGCGTGTTGTGCAGGAGGTAGGTCGTTTTTGGGTGTTATCAGACTCATGTCGTCAGCTGCAGTGCCGTCGTATAGACTGTATATAAAAGAAGAGAAGCTCAGGAGCGTGCATGCGCGTCACATCCAATGGATTTCGCAGAAAATCCGAACCTGAGACTTCACATAGGAAAACTGGCCTTCAGAGGTAATAGAAAAACCCAAAAAGTTGATTACAAAAGTGTGATTACAAAGTGTGATTACAACTTCTTTACACACAGGCAATAAAAAAAGGTTTCATTTCAGAAGACAACTAACATATAGCAATTTTAAGGAAGTTCAGTGATAGTTCATTTCTGTTATATATATATATATAGCCACTCTGGAGAAAACAGTGATGTCATCATTCAGCTCTCACATAATGGTGTCAACAAAGCAAGCCAAAAGCCAAAGGCGACAGTGGCGAGGAATGGAGAAATGTGTTAATTTACGTTCATTGTTGCTTGAATCTTGCAGGACATTCGAATCAAAAGTCTGCGGCAGGTTTTCCCGATTACCTTTGTAAATGGCAGGGGCTGCCATATTCGGAGTGCAGTTGGGAAGACGGTGCTCTTATTTCTAGAAAGTTTCAAAAGTGCATCGATGAATACATGAGCCGAAACCAGAGCAAAACCATCCCCTTCAGAGACTGCAAGGTAACCACAGTCAACACCATGAACACTCATCTGAGAAAGCCAATGAAACCGGGAGCTCTCCAACCAGTTTTCTGTTTGGTTTCTTTCAGGTTTTAAAACAGAGACCCCGGTTTGTGCCCATGAAGAAGCAGCCTCCGTACATCGGTGGAGATGGCCTAGAGCTGCGGGACTATCAGTTGGACAGTCTCAACTGGATGGCCCATTCTTGGTGCAAGTATGCTAGTTTCGTTCATTCCTAGTAGACATCAGCCCGGTTTCAATGAGTCATGATTTCATGAGTTTCTTCTTCATCTCTTTTACTCTTCTTCATTCCCAGAGGAAACAGTTGTATCCTGGCAGATGAGATGGGTTTGGGAAAAACCATCCAGACCATCAGCTTCCTCAATTACTTGTTCCATGATCACCAGCTTTACGGGCCCTTTCTTCTGGTGGTGCCTCTGTCCACCCTCACGTCCTGGCAGAGGGAGATCCAGCTCTGGGCTCCTCTGATGAATGTTGTGGTGTATCTGGGAGACATCAACAGCAGAAACATGGTATAATGTTAAATATATGAAAGTGAGCAGATCCTAGATTTCTTCAACTCAAAGCTGAAGATTGTTGTGTGTTCTTTAGATCCGGACACATGAATGGATGCATCTGCAGACCAAGCGACTGAAGTTAAACATTCTGCTTACCACATATGAAATTCTGTTGAAGGATAAGGTACAGCATGAGTCAAAAGACTAATTTACACTTTCACTATTAAATGTATATTTTGCATAAGCTATTAGACTATTCAAACTAAGAAACTCTCACGAAACATTGTGGATTTTCAATTCATTCGAAATACTCGACCTATTGTTCCAATAGTCACATGATCTGGTACTAAATGATGCTGAGAAATGGGGCTTATATTTGTGACGTACTTGTAAAACAAAATATAGGAATATTTATTGAAAACGGCTGAACAAGTGTCTAATACAGTACTTTTACTGTTCTTAATTTTTTATATACATTTCATTACATTTTTGCTTTGCCTGAAATTAAGGCTTTCTTTTTCCCCCAAATATGTTAACGTATGTTAACACGGAGATACTGTGCTAGAAAGGTTCCCAATAAATATAGATTATTTATTTTTTGTTAAGCTACCAGCTTGTGCTTTTCATCAGTGGATGTCGTATTTTATTAAATTTAACTTTAAAAAAAAATATTAACAGAAAACACTAATTTGAAAGAATTTGTTTTGAGCGGTTGCATCTAATTTGATGTGAAATACATTATATAACACAATATATCGATACCCAGTCCTTTTTTTTTATTGGATATGACATTTGTTACCTGTGTAAATGAACAGTATTGTTTATCTCAGCAGACTGGTGTGCTCAATGTTATTTTCTTTTGCAGTCATTTTTAGGAAATGTCAGCTGGGCGTTCATTGGTGTTGACGAGGCCCATCGGCTGAAGAACGATGACTCTCTCCTCTACAAGACCATGATGGAGTTCAAGTCCAACCACAGGCTCCTGATCACTGGCACACCCCTCCAGAACTCACTCAAAGAGCTCTGGTCTCTGCTACACTTTATTATGCCTGACAAGTAGGTGTGCTCTTGTTCTGTCAGACTGCTCTTTTTGCTCAGTTCAGTATGACTCGACTGTAGCAGTGTTGGTGTATGCAGCTGAGCTTTTCATGTGGTATTTTTGGCAGCTCTTGTAACTCTATGTGGTTTATTCTTAAAGGCTGATAGCTTAGAGAGAGGAGCTGACCACATTCTTGCATTGGTTTAGTCAGATGTCACTGATATAAGCTTGTATGTTGGTAGATTTCACTCGTGGGAGATGTTTGAAGAGGAGCATGGGAAGGGCAGAGACTCGGGGTATACCAGCCTTCATAAAGAGCTGGAGCCCTTCTTGCTGCGCAGAGTGAAGAAAGATGTGGAGAAATCTTTGCCTGCCAAGGTGGAGCAGATCCTCAGGGTGGAGATGAGCGCTGTTCAGAAACAATACTACAAGTAAGAGAACCATGAGCTTTTGAAAGATAGCAGGGAATCAAATTGGGACAACATTTTACTGTAAACATGGTCTTGCTCATGATTCATCGTTGCATGTCATTCTATATTTGAACACATTTTTTCCCCCAGAGAAAATGTCACCCTTCGCTATAGATTTATCACTTGTACCCAATTTTAATAATTGTTCATTTAAAACAAATTGTTTGTTTAGGTGGATATTGACGAGGAACTATAAAGCCCTGAGTAAAGGAACTAAAGGAAGCACGTCAGGCTTCCTCAACGTCATGATGGAGTTGAAGAAATGCTGTAACCACTGCTACCTCATTAAACCCCCTGACGAGAACGAGTTCTACAACAGACAAGAAGGCCTGCAGGTGCGTTTCATCTTGCACAGGGGAAGCTCTCCTTTATTAGTTGGACTGTACAGCGAAACATCCAAGACATTGGCCACAGTTATAAAATAGAAGTTCAGTTACAAAAGATTTAACAAGCTTAGTTGGTTACAGGGGTCCTTGAAATCCGTTAAAGCTTGTGAATCAGGAAAATATTTAAGGCCCTGGAAAGTTTTTGAAAATAAACATACATAGATACAAGTCCTTGAAAATGATGGAATTTGGAAATATATTTTGTGAAAGAAGCCATATATTATTCTGGACTTCTAATGTGTTATTTCGCCAACACTTGATGACTTATGCAATAGGGATCGACCGATATGGATTTTTTAGTGCCGATACCGATACCGATTTTTTTCCCATCAGCCTTAGCCGATGACCGATACGGGCTGCCGATTTTCTTGAGCCGATATTTGGAGCCGATACATTTTGCTCCCTCAATTTACATCTTAAAAATAACATGATGTTAACAAATGTTACAGGTCTCAATTTAATAAAAGTAACATTTAACTAACTTCAAAAATTTATATTTAAAAAATAGTAAAAACATGTGGTAGAACAAGAACAAGTAGATAAACAATTTAAAAATATTAAAAACATAAAGTAGAAAAAAAAAAGTTCAGTGCTGAAAATGAATATTTAAGCATAAATTAAATAATTACACTATTGCACACAGTAGCAACCAGCATAATAAAGTGCACAGTGCACACTGTACTTCATTTTAAAAGAAACGAACTATGTACTGCATGGTTTAAATTTTCCTACATAAAATAAAATGAGCATGTCTAGTCTCTAATATTACTGCGATTGCGAGGCTGGATAAATCTCCCACAAAAAGCACAGAACAACGTTGGCATTCCTTAATCCTATGACCAGTGTTCATAACAGCTACCGTATGCATACTAGGTCTGTCAAAATTGCTAAAATGGCGTTTGCATATTCCCTCTAAAAAACGTATTCGAACATCCCGTTGCGCGTTTTGTTGTTGACGCGCATTACATCAATAACAGGACACATTAATACAAAGAGACATAACTACTAGTATTAGATAGTTTATTTGAGTTTAAACATATTTGACAACGTATTAAAAAGCAAGTAAATCAACTAATGGCCAAGACCGCAGAGCTCACTCTGTCTCGCCCTGGACTCGCTCAGGCACTCTCTCTCTCTCTCTCGCCCTCACGGTCTCTGCGCGTCGGTTAAATGAACAACAAACAAATGTTGAGTGCTAAACAAGAGTTTTGTGCAAGCAATTTAAAGTTGCGAGTCGCGCCTCTTGTCCCAAATATAGCAGGCTTCATTCAGTGATTGAAGTTTCAGAGTATAGAACCGACAGTGAGCGCTCCGAGCGAGCTGTGCAGCTGTAGTAACGTTATTAGTCTGCAACCGCGGGCGTGTTTTTCCACATTCAAATATTAATTTTCACCTTCAAAATTAATAGATATTCGAATGTAGAATATTCATAGACAGTCCTAATGCATACTGAACGGATAACCTACACCTTAACTATTTGCAGCTTCTTAATACAATGGCAAGCAGTTAAGTTTTATAGACAAGGCATTCGCGTTTTCCATTTGGACCCACAAACTTGCTTAGTTGCAAGCACATAACAGTTATAGGGCGACGTGTTTCCATTTTCAAAGTGTTTGACAATATTTCAGCAGTCAAACATTTAAAAGATCCTTTGAAAGTTTAAGTTACCATTCTCGTGAAGAGCAGGTTGCACTCCGCTAGTGGAGGAGGGCGGGGCACGTGAACTGTAGCGTCTCTAGCAGCACAGAGCTGCCCGTGGCCGCCTGTCTATAAATAACGCCGGAAAAAAAAAAACTATCGGCGAACGCGCAGCGGTGTATCGGCCGATTCCGATACACGTAAAAACCTCAAATATCGGCCCGATATATCGGCCGGCCGATATATCGGTCGATCACTATTATGCAAACTAGCTTGCTTGATTTATGTTTTTTCTGTGTGGGGTACTTTGTGTTGTACATTGCCTTGACGTTCATGCATAGACGAATCTACTATGATGTTACCTGAACTTTTATTGTTGGACACAACAAAGGTGTCCCCACATTAAGTCCTTAAATTTGAGGGTATTGGACCTGGAAAGTCCTTGAAAGGTCCTTGAATTTGAATGTATATTTGAATATATAATATGTATATTTCCTGCAGCACCTTATTCGCAGCAGTGGGAAGCTGATTCTTCTGGATAAACTGCTGGTTCGGCTGAAGGAACGAGGGCACCGTGTGCTCATCTTCTCCCAGATGGTTCGGATGCTGGACATCCTAGCGGAGTACCTGAAGTTCCGGCAGTTCTTATTCCAGGTGATGGCACAACTCACTCGCTACAGGGCATCTGGATTTAATTGCAGTGTTTGTGGCTCACTTATGAAAGTGTGTGTTTGCAGCGACTGGACGGTTCTATAAAGGGTGAGATGAGGAAGCAGGCGTTGGATCACTTTAATGCAGAGGGCTCTGAGGTATGTGTGAAATCACTGGTTATTAATGGTGTAAATATTTGTACTGGCATTGATTTACTTAAATACATTATGATTGCGATGTGATGTGAAGTCACAGAAATTAGGTCATGATTTGATTTCATCCAATTCTGGAACAATTATTATAATATATTAGGCATTACACTCAAAGTCTGTCATAGACTGAGTCTTCATAATATTTTTTTTAGTTCTATGAAAAATGTATAGTTGTTTTAAAAGTTGACCGTGAGTTTATGTGATGTCTTGTCTCTGACGTTGCAGGATTTCTGCTTCTTGTTGTCAACGCGAGCGGGTGGTCTGGGCATTAATCTGGCCTCTGCGGATACGGTGGTCATTTTCGACTCTGACTGGAACCCCCAGAATGACCTGCAGGCCCAGGCCAGAGCGCACAGGATTGGGCAGAAAAAACAGGTCAGCATTACCTCCACACATTACATTACATGCTGTATATCAGTTATGTAGCGTATGCTGGTTTTAATTGTATTGATATTGATTAGGGCAGAAAAAAGAGCATATAATCGAAAGGGATACTCAACAGTCTATGATTCAACCAGTGTAGCTTTGCAGAGTTTATGGCGTATGTCTGAAAATAGTAAAATTCTGTGGGGAAACATTTAAATCTTATATCGCTGCTGGTTGTCAAATTGCAATTTAAAGCGCAATCAATATATGGTAATTTTGTCATTTGCGGAGGCCTTATAGTGATAACGTTTTTGTGTATTAGCACTCATTAGCCTATACTAGTGAACAGTATTGTTATCATGGAAACCTTGAAATTAGGGCTGAACGATTAATTGCATTTTCGATAAAATCGCGATATGATGAAACGCGATTTTGTAATCGCTAGAGCTGCGATTACACTGGTCACTTGACACGCGAGAGAAAAGCAGTCTGCAAGATAAAGCATCAACTTGCCACGCTACGCGGTCTGGCGTCCAGAAAAGAACAGTTTATTGTGTTATTTATTCTCTCCTCAACAATCCTGGATCGATTCAGAGAATTTCAGAATCGAGTCTGAGCTTAGTTTTTAAACACAGATGCGTGATGACGCTGCGCGTGCTTTAGAAACGAACCGTGTTCTGAATCTGCTTGCTTCTATTTTCTCGCTCTCTCTCTTCCTCACTCACACACACGACACCGCTCGAACCTTCCAAAACATAGTAACGTTATTTTATTAAGGTCGGGGTTGAACCAAATTACAAGGACATTCGCGGGCTTCATTGAACAGGTTTTGCCGCTTTGCTTGATGTTATAACGTTACACTTGCAGTGCGCGTTCTCTCCTGCGGGAATTTTCCTTACAAATGCTTCACAGAGGCATTATTTATGTCTTTTGGAATGCAGTTGGCTTGTATATTAACACCATGAAAATCACTGAGAAGGCTGCTTTCATTTTAAAAATACTAACGCGTGCTTTGTGAAGAGCGCTCGTGCATGCGGCCGCGAGCGACTCATTGGTAAATGTACTTGAATGTCAAAATGCTTTTATGACGCGAAATTGATGTAAACACGGTCAGTTATATCTTAAACCAACAGGACAAACCACATTTACAATTTCAAAAGAGATATATGCATTAGTGTGAATGCAGCTTATCGTATCTAAACTGAGGGGAAATCACTCCAGCTCTTGAATGAAAAACATTCAGACAGCCTAGTTTTAAATACTGAGACCACTCTTTGTTTATTGCTTGTAATGTTTTTTGTTGTTGTTTGTCTTTATTTACTAGCTTTTATATTTTGTAGCTATATTATTTTATATAGCCTATTTAAAATTCTTAACATGTAATTGGTTTAATTAAATGTTTTTTTTTATATTTATTTTTTAAAGTATGTGTTGTTACACATGTAATTAAATACATATTTTAAGAGTTATTAAGATTAATTAATAAGAAAAAAAGTAGATCGGATCATGAGCTATCTAAAGATTCCCATCCCTACTGTACAATGATTTATTGCTTGTCTGTCGACTAATACAGAAGGTAAATAACTTTTTTTTTAAATCGCATATTAAATCGCAATCGCAATATTGGTTAAAAAAATCGCAATTAGATTATTTTCCAAAATCGTTCAGCCCTACTTGAAATACAGTAAATAATTCCAGATACCTTGTTACAAATTTACTTTATGTATGATGCTTAAAACTAAATGTGCACAAATCATTGTTATATGATAAAAGTAATATCAGTGCCGTGATATTACCGTTATAAAAAACTTTGTACCAATTTTTTTATTTCACAATAATTGCTAATCAAATGTCTAGGATATCTTTATTGTTTATGACTTGATCTAGTCCATTTCTGTAATGTCTTCTATTGAATCTCTCTCAGGTGAATATATATCGTCTGGTGACGAAGGGCTCAGTTGAGGAGGAGATTATTGAGAGAGCCAAGAAGAAAATGGTGTTGGACCACCTGGTGATTCAGAGGATGGACACCACGGGGAAGACGGTCCTCCATACGGGTGCTGCTCCTTCCAGGTACAGATACAAATATATAACCTGACTAAATTGCTAAATAATTGAATGTAAATATGTATATGTAGGGCTCGCAATTAAACTGTGTCATTCTCTTGTCAGGGCTCTGTCGTTTTTTACCTATCACTTCCTAACCTAAGTCTTCCTAAGTTCTTACATTTTATTAATGAATTCCATTAGAATAATCAGATACTGTAGGGCTGCCATCAATCAAAGGAAATCGGTATCAACAAAATCCGTCTTTTCACTGCAGAGGAAACACAGAAGCTACGTCTGAAGTGGCATTTAGATGCGTTTACACAGGCCGTTTAATGAAGCTCAGAGGTAGCATGAGTGCATTCACACTGCAAAATTACAACTGCACAAATAATGTTATGAGATTTAATCTTTCAAATCATTTTTGAACATGTTGAGAAAACAATATTAATGAGTGATTTGAGTCTTTCAACCAATTTCATTGAATAATTCATTTTCATTGAAGAATTGAGTGACTGGCTGCATCTGAAATCACAAACTTCCCCACTATATTATAGTAGGCGAAAAACATGTGACATTGTAATTAGTATGTCTGAATTCACAGTACTCATAAGACTAGGAGAAAGTCGCCGGATGACCTTCTGCATCCGTCGAAATTCTGACCCTGCATACGATGGACACTTTACTATCCCATGAGGCCACAAAGAGGATTGTGAATTACAGTGAAGCAACACAACTGATGCTGTTAGATTACTCAATGACAATGTGGTGGATTTAGTACATCCATATTACATGCTATATAGAATACACTTATTTTTTTTAAACAGTTGCGAAGTAATTACTCATCATAAGCACCTAGTTTGTGATTCGGGTTGCAGCAACTGGCTTTATGAATGGGTCATTGAATCATTGACTCATTGAGTAGTTGTTCTACTGTGGCTTTGTTAGGAATTAGTTTAGCTGGTGAAAATTGTCAATATTTATCTAAAATTCAGATTAAAAGTCACTTAAAATTTACCTACTTGTTTATTAAAGGGGAAATTGCATTCTAGGTTGTGTGTTGCTGAACTATATCAGATGTTATAAATATACTTTTTTTTTTTTTTACTGTAGTGTGTAAAGCTTCTGTGTTTCTTTGTGCTGCTGTCTCCACTGACAATTCATTATCCATCAACAGCCACCGTTTACACTCAATGTTATAAAATCAGAATCATTGCTTTTGACATGCATTTAAAACAACCATCTTCCCAAATTTGTATTGGGAATTCTTTATGAATCTGTTGTTAAAAAGGTTTCACTGCGGGTTTCCTCTATGGTTTAACTATTTAAGGAAAGAAATTAAGACTGCCATTGATTATTAGGATTGATTGTACAGTTGTTCTGTAAAAATCATAAAGCATACTCCGTAGTAAAAGTTAGTATTAAGTACTCAAAATGAAAGAAATGCTTGAATAGTCAATTGTTTCAATTGTTATATTAGTGCATTATCAAAATAATCGTTATTTGTTTGCGATCGGTAAGATGTTTTTTTTTTCCTAAGGCTGCTTTTATTTTGCTGAAAAAAAACAGGAAAACAACAGACATTGTGAAATATTACAATTTAAAATAACTCTTTTATTAGAATATATTTTATAAAATGTAATTTATTCCTGAGATCAAAGCTGACTTATCAGTGTTAAAAACTGTTATGAACAACTTATTTTCAGGATTCTTTGATGAATATAAAGTTCAAAAGAACAGCATTTATCATTTCTTGTGTAACATATACACTACCATTGAAAAGTTTGGGGTTAATGATTAATTTTTTTTTAGGAAATATAAATGAAAATATGAGTACTTTTATTCAGTAGTTGAGCAAAAGTGACACTAAACCACTTGCATATTTTTATTTTGAATAAATGCTGTTCTTTGAATTTTCTATTTATCAAAGAATCCTAAATAACTTGTACATAATGGTTTTCAACATTGATAATAATCAGAAATGTTTCATCATATCGGAATGATTTCTGAAGTATCATGCGACACTGAAGACTGGAGGAATGATGCTGAAAAATCACCCTTGATCACAGTAATAAATGACACTACTGTATATTCACATAGAAAAGGGCTATTTGAAATAAATATAAAAACAGTAATATTGAGAAATATTAATCAAAAAAAAATTGGTGAGCAGAAGAGACTTCTTTTAAGAACGAACTTTTGAATGGCGGTGTTTATTCTTTGCTGAGATTTTGCTACGTGTATAATGTATAGATTAATGGGATTATTATTGTCTGATTCCTCTGCAGTTCCACTCCATTCAACAAGGAGGAACTGTCAGCCATCCTGAAGTTTGGTGCGGAAGAGCTTTTCAAAGAGCAGGAAGGAGAGGAGCAGGAACCTCAGGTTTGTGTATGTGTGTCACAATATAGTATATGTGTAGCGCAGAGATGCCCTGCATGTGCACTGGGATGCGAGAGAAATTTCTACTGTGATGTTTTTAACCACAGATGTACAATGTCATTGCGTGCACTAAAACACACGTACACATACGCACACACACACACACACACACACACACACAAAACCCTTGAACCTTCTATACCATAATCTTCTATAAAGGTTGAAAAACATTCAAGCGTGAATGAGAACTGTTTTGAGGGGGATGCCAGGTGTGCAAAAAAAACAAAAACACAAATATTTGATTGTCACATTTTCAAATCGAATACCAACCCCCTGAGTGAATATTCGATTATTTGAATATTCAGATCCAGCCCTAGTGCTTTTAGCAACTGAAAGCATTTTTTCTTTTCTTTGTTCGTCTTTACAACTTACTATTTGTTTGTATGTTTTGAAGTTCTCTTTAGTTTGTTGACAATTTAAAAAAAAATGTAACATGCAGTGCCTAAAGACTCCCATCCCAAGCATTACCGTGGGCTTTTGTGCAGAAGCTGATGCTTGATGTTTGTTGATCCTGTAGGAGATGGACATTGATGAAATCCTGAAGAGAGCCGAGACCAGAGAGAACGATCCTGGGCCGTCGACTGTAGGAGAAGAGCTCCTCTCACAATTCAAGGTGTGCGATTTAAACACTGCAAATAATTCCTCAGCACCTTCTCGCTCACACCATCATCACGCTATAAAACATGTTTGCTCCTTCCTGCAGGTGGCAAACTTCTCCATGATGGAGGAGGAGGAGATTGACATGGACACGGAAAGGAACAATAAGAACTGGGATGACATTATCCCAGAGGAACAGCGGAGGAGACTTGAGGAAGAGGAGAGACAAAAAGAGCTAGCGGAGATCTATTTACTGCCCCGCATGAGGAAATGTGCTAAACAGGTTAGCCAATCCAACTCGCTTTAGTGCTGGCAGAACACACACGTCTGTGTGTTTGATGACGTTAGAAGATTAAATGCTTGGCTTACATCATGAGTTGATGAACGATAAAAGAAAAATGACATTTCTAGCAACATAGGCCTGCAGTTCTTTGTGCTTTCTCTTTATGTTATTGTTTGTTTTGCAATGACAGGCCAACTTTAATGGAAACGAGGGCAGGCGCAGCCGGAACAGACGATACTCGGGTTCAGACAGCGACTCGGTCTCTGACAGGAAGAGGCCCAAGAAACGAGGAAGACCTCGAACTATTCCAAGAGAGAACATTAAAGGTTTCACTGATGCCGAGATACGCAGGTAAAGCCGCTGATGCTCATTTTATCAACCTCACCATAATCCGTATAAAGGCCATTGCACACCGAGCACGAAATATTCGTATGCGTATTTTCGTGTTCGTCAGCTTAAAAATTCGTCACGCATAGAAACCTTGCACACCGAGTCCGTTGCGTATTTCTTAAACCTTTGCGGGAAAAAACGCAAAAATACCAAATGGATTCGTCAAGCAGTGAGGATGATTTTTGCCCTCTCTCTTATTGAAAAGGGAAGAAAGAGAAAATATTACGTCCATCCAATCCTGAAATTGCGCCGAGAGGAAGGAGAGTTCCTTATCAAGGAGTTGCGAATTTATCCTGAGCGATTCAAAATTTACCTCAGAATGTCAGTGGGACAGTTCGATGCTTTGCTAGCGATTCTGGAGCCACATATTAAAAACAAGACGACCAATTTCCGTGAACCAATCGATTCTGAACGGAGACTGGCAGTGTGTCTGAAATGGACCAGGTATGGGACACACACACGGACAAACACACACCCGCGCGCGGCCTGTTGGAAGCGCTGGGCAGACAGAACAGCTAGGCTGTTATTGTGTATTGTGCCCAAATAATACATTAGTTATCGAATAGGCTGCTCAATCACACCTTATTCGATCCTAAATTTCAATCTGATTGAAAGGGGAGGTTTATTAATTTCATAATCCAATATAGAGAAGAGAACATAAACACTTGATCGAATTGAAAACCGAAACTGAAAGCACGGCGCATATGTGCAATGATTTGAGGACGAGGTCCCCCCGGCCCTGAATTGTCAAAAGACCTCTCAAAATGCTGGCTCTGGATGCGAAAAACGCAGAAAATCGAACCCGATCCGATTAATTTTATGACGGACGAAAGTTTCGGAGGCGGTGTGCAAGCGTGACTGACATAACGTGAGGTCGAATTTTTTTTTTAACGTGCGAAAATTTCGGATGCGAATTTCGGACTCGGTGTGCAATGGCCTTAAGCCGTTTGATTTCGTGCTGATGATGATGATGTATATTACAATATAGAGAATTACTGGTGGAATTGGTGAAAAAAGAGATTTCTCTATTAATCTTGTGGAAATCTGTATTATTGGATAATCCAGTGGAAGTTTGCTGTGAGGTTTTTCTTCACACAATTGTTTTTTTCTTTACAAAGAAAATTACAAACAAGCTAGAAATGATGGTTATAATTTTACTCCTGAAATTCTAGCATATTAAATTATGTATATTTTTTATTGATCCAAAAATAAGCTGCTGATGCTCTGTTTATCAGTTTGATATTGTGCTAATGATAGTGTATATTACAATATAGAGCATTCTTTGACATCAGTGAAAAAAACATCAGTTTTTTGTAATGGACAATACAGTGAGAATTTGCTGTAAATTAATTCATTTTCAGCTTGCTCGTAATTTTCTTTGTGCTATAAAAATATAAAGTTATAATTTAACTCCTGAAATTCAAGCATATTATATTAATTATTTTGTTAATCCAATAATTAGAGGTAATCATTTAGTTTGAGATTACTTAATTTTATGTGACCAATGTGTTTTGTTTCCCATACAGATTTATCAAAAGTTACAAAAAATTTGGTGGGCCTTTAGAAAGGTAAGAAGTTTATTTATTTATTTTTTTCAATCACTTCATGTGTTAGCAGTTGGGCCTCTCTGATTGATGTGTGTCACAGGCTGGATGCTATCGCTCGGGATGCGGAGTTGGTGGATAAATCTGAGAATGATCTGCGGCGGCTGGCTGAGACCGTACACAACGGCTGTATGAGAACGCTACGGGAGAACCCCTGTGGACCTGAGCGAACCTCAGGCAAGAGCACTGATCACTAAAGCCTCTGTGGAAATTGTGAATTATGCCATTTCAGTCATAATGTGAAAAAAAAAAATCATGTCTCTGGGTTCTTTGTCACCTTTTTCACACCACCTGATGAGTTTGTGTTTGGGAGAGTTAGTTAACATTTTGGATGTTGTAAATGAGTAAGAGTCAATAAATGTTCCCCATATGTGCTGGTTCATATCAGGAGGCAGGCGAGGGAAGGTGAAGGGACCCACCTTCAGGATCTCAGGGGTTCAAGTCAATGCTAAGCTGGTGATCTCTCATGAGGAGGAGCTGGCACCATTACACAAGGCCATTCCATCTGACCCGGAGGAGAGGAAGAGGTAAGAGCAAAACTGTGTCACAACCAGGCTAGGGTTCATGTTAATGTCATACCATTTTTAAATGTCAAACCCCTCAGAAAACCTGCTGATTACCATAGTTATCATAAAGTGTGGCACTGTTTGTCACGGTTTGCTTGACTAGAGTTCAGCAGCCAGCGTTGTGTTTTGAATATGACATGTCATGAAAGGTGCAGTAAATTTGATATCTAAAAAAAAGGACACCCACCCCTCCCTTCATTGCTCCGCCCACAGAATAACAAAAACACACTGCATCAGATGATTATTAACAGCTGGTATATTGGGTAGCTCACAAAAGTATGGTTGAACCAGCTGTGGTTCAATAACAGCACATCTTGGCTCTGTGAAATGTGAAAAAAAAAAAAACAATTTTACTTGTGTATCTGGCAGAAATGAAGCAAAGCAATCTCAGCATCCATGTTCAGGCCCTCCTGCTTTCTAATGTCTCTCCAGCACTGGAAAAATTTTCTGAAATGGACGAGGGTCTTAAAGTTCTTGCCTGAATGTAACCCCTTTTTTCCAAAATATATTCCTCCTGACTTTTCCTAAGCCTTCTCTCTTTCTAGTCTTTCTACAAATGTTCACTCTCTCTCCTCCCCCAACATGAGCTGCTGATTGGCTAAGAGTGTTTTGGTGCTCATTATGATTGGCACAACCAGGACTATGCACAAACACAGTATTTTTCACTTTTATTTTTTATTTTTGACCAGATTTCAAGTTAAATGTTTAAAAGTAGTTGTTAATAAGAGACCCTCCCGTCTTCTTTTCTTTTGGTTGCTTGCTTTGTGAGGGCTGGAAAATGATTTGTTAGACAATATAGACGAATCCGACGAGCGTTCTGTGTAGGCTGCCATCTTGTGGCGACGCCATTACTGAGCTGTTACACAGGCATACAGACATATGCACCGGTATGTAAACAAACCTCTGTGATAACGCGAACTCACCCTCGATGGCAGCTACAGACAGGCAGAATGACTTGTTGGTTTGATCTGTGACTGCAGTGGCCTCCAGTCACAGATGAAGGTACAAACGATCTTACAGATTAACGTTATTTATGAAAATAGCTTGGCAAGCTAGCTAGGCTAACGTTTGCTAACGAGGAAACTATAAAAAGATCTGTCCATTTGGCAACAATAAATAAATAAATTAATGAAATCAAATAAACAAATTCATGTTTTTCATTTGTGTCCATTATTTATCTCATTTTCACATTGCAACAGGCAAGGGTAGGGTAACGTTACAGCTAGAAAGTATACATAATATCGACCAATTAGTGTTTTTAAACCATGGAAAGAGATAACAGCAGGAAAACAATTATGTCACATAACGTTACATTTAGCTCAGGAAAGCCATTTAATGACCATAGCATGTTAATTGAATAGAAAAAATAGCAAGAGAGGAGATTTTGCTGATCACTATAGGCTATCACATATTTATTATATTTTTTTTTTACTCATGTCATTAAATAATTGTTATTATACGCGAATGTCCACGTCTTGTACTCGCCCAGGAAATCTGTAAACCGTACGGCACCAGACAGGGGCAGTTGACCCGGGGTATTCACAATGTTTTCTCTTCAAAATTTAAATTTTACTGCCACCATTGAAACAATTTATAACGGAAACTGTTTACCCACTCGACATTATACAAGGGGTAACGTTGAAACGTTAGTGACAGTCGTAAATCGCGGGCTATTTATTCCAGTGGACGCAAGTTGCAACTAAAACAATAGGAGGCAATGGCGCAACGCTACCCAGCAACAGCTCAGTAATGGCGCCCGCTTACTTCCGGTAGTTTTGCCGGATTTGTCTATATGTTAATTTTTTTTTTCCTTGTATGTAAAGGTATATAATCCCATGCCACTCAAAGGCAGCTCATTTTGACATTGAGTGGGGTAAAGAGGACGACTCCAGTCTGCTTATTGGGATCTATGAGTACGGATATGGCAGCTGGGAGATGATCAAGATGGACCCAGACCTCAACCTCACGCATAAGGTACAGAAACACAGTGTTTGACCAACATGCCCTGTTATGCTGTTGTGTTCTTGTTGTTTAAGTGATTATGTATGACGCATTTAAATGATAACTGGTTACAAAATTTGTTGCAGCTCCTTCCAGATGATCCTGACAAGAAGCCACAGGCCAAACAGCTGCAGACACGAGCTGACTACCTCATCAAATTACTGAGCAAAGACCTCGCCAAGAAAGAAGCACAGAAACAGGCCGGCACTGTGAGTGACTCACGCAGATTTAACACAATCCACACATACTACAAAATTTAATTTGGTTCACTTAAAGGAGATTGGCATTCTGTAAAGCGACAAGCTTCAGAGCTCAATATCAATCTATTAGAGTCTCCGTCTCCTATATGGCCACTGGTGGCAAAAAATAACGGTTGTTCTTAAGTGTTTAAGAACTTCTGAACCGCTACTCCAATCCGTATGCTTTCAAAAGTCCCATAAAGAGGAGTGTCATGGCTTTTCTGTGATTTTGGCTTTAATCGTGTTTGGACATTCAGAAGCTCCATAGCGATTGTGATTGTGTCAAGTTTTGCTCCACATTGATTTGTCAAAGAAACCTGTGCGATTTGTTCCTCTGAGCCAATCATCAATGAGGATTGATGCTTAGTCCCTTCTCCCACCCCATGCCCAGATTGGTTGAAACTATCATCTACTCAACCAATAAACATAGTTTTTGGCATCCAATTAGCTTCTTTCTTTGGGAATTTGAACTGAGGCACAGAGAGGTGTGTTTATATTTATTAAAAAAATATTTTGCTTCAGTGTTTTTATTACTATCCTTCTGTTAATTTTACTTATTTAAATTTTTTGGACCTATCCAAGTTGTCAGTAAATAAAAATTACCAGCTTTTCACTAAAAATCGCCTATAATAATGTTGTAATAAATGGCTACAACTTGCTTAGGGATTGTAGTCAACAATCCATAAGCATGTAGGGACATGTAGTCAAAATAACATCTGGAAATTTAGAATATCCAATTATAGCTTTCTAAAGAAAAAAAAAATTCTCTGAGTTGAGTGAAAAAAAAATCACTAAAAATATGCTTCCGTTTTTCTTAAATCTGGTGAATTTGTTCATTCTAAGTAGGGATGGGTATCGTTAAGGTTTTATCGGTATTACTACTCTTACCGATACCGCTTATCGATCCGGTACTTTAACGGTATTCTTATCGGTTCTTTTTGGTGTTTTTTTTTTTTTTTTTTAAGAATTAAGAACATAATTAAACTTTATATTTTGAAATGTAAAATATAAAAAGCAAAACGAAGAAAAATATATTTTTGTTATGCAGCAATGTGCAGGCTTTTTTTGTTTATACAAAAAGGACACATAAGAAAAAAAAACAAGTACAAACACAAGAATACAATTAATCAAAGGTACAAATTATATACAAAGTGCTTTAATTTCAGGAAGGTCTACTAACATATCTTGTCAGGTAATTGTTTCTGTCTGAAAAGAAACCTATTCATCAAATATAAAATAGCACTGTAGTTTATCATAGATAGAATAATGCTTATTAAATCTAAAGTTACTCATTCAAAGGCTGTGAGTGATTTTCTCTGCCTTTTGTTGTTTGATTTGCATTAATGGCTGAATCGTCAGCAGGTTTAGGCTATTAGACTGCTGCCCCTTTAAGACCGAGTGCAGATAATGGGGACTGATGCACCATCATTTTCTCCCTATTATTTACGTCAGTTTGGTTTAAGACATAATTGTGTTTAAGTGAATAAACTGTGTTTAAGTGAATCTCAGAGCTGGTCATTTTGACATTTGTATGTATATTTGATAGTTAAGGACGCACAAAGCCCAAGTATATAGGTTACTTTTCATGTCTCGTTGCAGTCCGTTTCGGAGCGTGCACCGCCTTGTGAACAGCGTCTCTTGCGCAGGTTTTTGTGTTTTTAATAGCCATTTTCTTGATCTTGCAACAGTAGAAGACAGCACTTTGCAACAATCGCCGATCGTGCTGATTCTGACGGTTACGTTTGGGTTTTAGGAAGAACTGACAGCGCTTCGCAGTGCTGTGAAGTAAAGGAAGTTAAGCTGGACAGATCGTTTCGTTTTTTAACGGTTTTATCTCAAATATCTTCTTTTTATAATCTTTGGAAGCCGAAATACAAAATATATTAGAATAATACCCCAGATCTAAAGTGTAACCACGTTGGATGTTTAGTTCTGTCCTCATTGTCACTCATTAAGCAAGGGCTGTCGTGTTGCGCGTGCTGTGGCTTTGCGTGAGAGATCGCTCTCTCTCTCTTCTGAACTGCGAATTGCAAATTTGCATCACAGACATATGGTTTAATTAAAATATAGTTTATATATAGAAATGGCTGGTGATATAAACATGTTCGAGATAACGTCTTTATAGGAATAATAAATAGTAGCCCAACTTGCGTGTATTTACTTAATTTCTCCAGTACCGACAGCAGAACCGGTAACGTCCGAGCTTATCGATACAGCGGTCTTTCAAAATTCAGTACCGGGGCCCGTTTAATACCGGGTTTCGGTACCCATCCCTAATTCTAAGACAAAATAAATGTAAAATTGGATTATTTGAATGAGATGGATTGAAACTTCAAGTTCTCCCATTTAAAATTATATATGGCACTTGATGCTGACTGCTATAATGGGTTAGAAAAACAAAGAAAAGACCAGGCGGTGCAGGTGCTCCAAAAATGGCCTAGGTCTTTAAGGGTTAACATGCATTCATTTCAAAGTGAAGAAATCCACTGAGTTAGTTGATCTATCACCAGATAGACTACACTGAACCATGACTTTTCACAAATGACTGTTTTTGCGAGATCATAAAAGCTCTGAAATTTACCAGGTAATCATTCAGAATAGTTGCAACCAACTCTGTTTATTGCAATTGTTCCCAAACTTTTTAAAAATCAATGTCACCCCTTTTAGCTAAAGCATAAGATTTTCTTGTAAAAATGAAAGTGAAATATGCAATAACAATGTCGGTAAACAGCTCCTTCATTTGCCCTTCGATTCTGCTCCATAGGCAAATTCACGCAAGAGAAAACCACGGGGCAAGAAGAATAAAGCTGTAAAACCGAAGATGGATGATGTGACGAACAGTCTGTCCTCTGCGCCGCCATCGGATAAGAGCTCTGAAGAAGAGGATGAGAAGGAGGAAGAGGAGAAGGTTTGTGTTGAGCTGGTATACCATGTGTGAGGGTTGATGTGCACAGCAAGTCAAAATGACATGTCTGATGGAACAGGCTGCTGTTGTTTGTGTATGTGTGCAGAGCACATTAATATGGAAATCTGCTTGTGTATGGTTTCACTATCAACAATGTGCAACTGTGTACAGTAAAACAGCCCTTTGAAGACAGCCTGAACTTATCTCTAATCCATTAGCATCAACTAAAGATGGTAATGCTAATAACTGTAAACTTTAGAGTTCTACCCAGTAGTTTTTTTGAGTTTTTATTTTAAAAACCTACCATGTCAGACTCTTACCGCAAACGCTTCTCAACCAGGGAGCCTGAAGTGAAGACATTTCCAAGCGCTGCCCATGACGCCGCCTTCATACTGGCAGAAACGACCGGAAGTCATTCATTTCCTATGGAGATTCGCAGACCGCATGCGAATGGGCCCGAAACGGGTCCGACCGAGTGCGGTGCGAAGAAAATCGTGTCCGTTGGTCATCCGGATGCGTTCAAAAATTTGAACTCGTGCGAAAAGCTACGGACGGTTCCTATCCGACAATTCCAGCGGAAGTTGAGCGTTGCTATGGTACTGATAAACAAACCTGAATTATTAACTTTTAATAAAATAAATTATGATTTTATAATGATAAGTTGTCATGTCATTTTTATTTTCATGACTTTCTAACGTTTATAAGGGCAGTTAATACAATTAAATTGAAGGTAGACATTGAACTATTGACCACTATATCACATATTTTAGCCGACCTGACATGTCAACGCATCATCAGAGAGATCATACAGAACTGACCGAATCAAACTTTAATAATAATTAAAAAAAAAACATAATCAAACTTTAATCTCTCTCTCTGCCATTTTTGTTCTACCCGTGTCCGACGCTTTTCACTGTGTAGTACGACGTCCGTTGGGAACGTATTACGGAGCTGATTTAAACTGCCAGTGTGAAGGCGGCGTGAGGCCATTAACTCCAGACAAGACAGGAGATTAAGCAAGCTAAAACTGCTAATGCTAGCTAGCTTCATCAGCTATCGAGATTGATTTATGTTTAGGTACCAGGGTTCTGTCTCGGAAAACCTGGATATATTATGTAATTTTTGTAATAGACAATAATAAAATGAAAATTTCTAGAATACACATTTTAATTGAGAAATTGTGTTTGGGATTTAATTGTAAAAGCCTTATCCCATAATCACAAACAAGTAGGAAAGTTGAAAATACATTGAACTTTGAAGAACATTCTTGAATCTGAAAATATAGAATGTTATTATTTTTATTTTAATGTAATATAATTTTTAAAATTACATTATTTATTGTAATTTATTAACAAAAAATTTGAAGAAAAGCAACTTTGTCTTGAACAATCTGGGACTTTTTCTGGATGATGTGCAATATAGTGAAAATAATGCCTGATTCATCCTATTGTTAGACATTTCATAAAGCTAATGGGACAAAATCGGCCTTTGGTTAAAAGAGGTGGAGACTGGAGACATTATAAATGATGTCCATATTTTTACGTCCTGCTTTCTTTCACAGATTCATCAGTGTGGTACTTATTCTGAACATTTAACAACAACAAAAAATCCAAATTGGCCATGGATAATACTTGGATAATTAAATGTCCTCTGTCTCTGAAACAACTGTTCTAATGATGTAACCAAGCTTGGAAAAGCATTATTTGCAATAGTATATTCTGTTCCTTTTGGAAATGCATCACATTCTGGAAGTTAAATGCATTACCAGTACTAATGTGTTTTCTGTCTTCTTGCAGGAAACTGCTCCAGTGAAGCCGGCCAACAGAAGACCACGAGTGTCAGAGCGGGCAGTGAAGGAGGAGGAAGAGGAGGAGGATGAGGAAGAGGAGGAGGAAGAAGACTCCGAGGACGAGTTTGAGGATAAAGAGCCAGTTGAGAAGGACGTAACCGAGAAAGTGGTTAAAAAAGAGATTAAGAAGGAGAAGAAAGAGGAAGGCCGTGACAGCAAAGAGAGGGAACCAAAGGAGAAGGAGATAAAGCCTGAACCTGTGCAGGAAGAGACTCCAGCAGAGAAGGTCACACCTCTTAACTATGCCTTATTTTAAAACTTGTAAACATTTTTGAAAGTCAATTTTTATTTATTTATTTATTTTGATGGCATGTCCTTTTTATACGCTCTTTAGCTCGCTCGTTCAAACTCACGTGATCTCTTTTAGTTGCTTTTCATAGTGTTATTCTGTGACAGTTCTGGTTTATAATCATCATTTAGATTTATGACCTTTTCATGTCAATTGGTGAGGAGACTTGAGTCTGACAGATTTAGTTAAGAACAGGCCAATAGTTTCACCGCTAGTGGTCCTTCAGCATCCACATGCATGGTGATGTTCAAATCCGCTGTTTTCATGCGGCTCGCTAGGGTTTAAGACATCCATGTGTCATTTTTATCTTTGTATCAAACTATAATATTGGTCCAACGTGTGTATGAATTACTCAACCAGCGGTTGACTGTGTTCTCAGGCTGTAGAGGTGAAGGCCGACACCCCCGTGCACACGCCCTCAGGAGGAGATGCCATTCATTTGTCTGAGGAGTCTGAAGAACTGGACCAGAAAACCTTCAGTGTGGTGAGTTTGAAGAACCGAGAAGCCATTCATCTGATCCAAACCTTTTCCCAGGAGATCCAAAGCCAAATCATAAACACTAGCTGCGATTACATGGACCCTAATGATCCAATTGCAATCGGACTAGTAGCACAGCGGGAATAAAGGCATGTGTAACCACGTCATTTGTAATGAATTGGTCAATTCCGATTGAAATTTCATTAGGATCGTAAGGGGTGGTGTTGTCACGATACTGGAATTTCCAATTTCAATACGATACCTTGAAAAATATCTAAATTAGATATCAGGGGGGAAACTGTAATATATAGCACAAATAAATACATTCAAATAAAAAGATAATTAACATAAACCTGGATTTAAGCTTTTTAGGTTGGACTAACAGTATCCAGGTAAGAAATAAAAGTGAAAATGATTGTTCTACATTTGATTTAGATTAATCTTTAAATACCGATTAATACTTAAATTTAAGTAACAAAAGATATTCAGTCAAGAGCTGTGAGTGATTTTTCTGTTCTTTGATTAACATGGCAGACAGAAGCGGGTTTATTAGGCTGCTGTCACTTTAAGAGCTCATGCACAGATCCAATATAACATTTACATTCCAAAACTGACCAAATTTACCTGAATACTCGCCAAGATGTACAATTTTACATAATTTTGTATGAATTTGATTTGTTTTAAGGGCAATAAGCCACGAAAAAAATGGTACTCGGGCCTTCTGAGAGGCGGCTTTGTGCGCTGCACTTGTGTAGGTCAGTGGTGCGTGTGAATGACTTAAATTATGCACAATACAAGCACTATTCAACCGGAACGAGTGGGTGAGGGGACGCAATGTGTTTCAAAAGGTGAGGAGAGAGAGTGCGTGAAAACGTGCAGCTGGTTTTGGTGTATCCATGTTAGTGCTGTCAAATGATGAAATTTAATCATGATTAATTGCATTAATGCTATGGTTGACTTGTGATTAAACACACATTTTTATCTCTTCTAAATGTCTTTTTTTTTTTCCCATTATTTTTTTTCTTATTATTTTAATGCTCTAATCAACATGAAAAAGTGGATTGGCTTGCTTTGTGCAAATGTTTTTATTGAAAACATTGACAATACTGTTCAATTTCACACTAAAACATTCTCACTTGGAGTAAATAATGTAACACTGTTCATCAATGAAAGGGTGAAAGAAATACTGACGAGGTCCTGATATTGACGAAGGGGCAGAGAATTGACATTAGCTGTGTGCGTGCTTGGCCATCATCAAGTGGTATTTCTGACTGGACGTGCTGCGATGATAGCTCAGTTTACAACGACAAAAACAAAAAAAAATCTTTTTTTTGCAACTTTTTTTAAAGTAAACTTTCGATTCAGAATCTTATCGGCATCCATTTCGGCATCTTGCGCTCGTCATCCACTCAAAACGTAACGTGAACTTACTATTTGACCGGCTCGCAACAATTGTGTTTCCAGTCTAGCTAGATCCGGTGCTTTCAGTCAGGATGCGGAATACGCGGCACTACGCCAGTTTTCAAAAATTTTAGATGCTAAAAAGTTTCTATTGGCCGCGCTGGTAATCGTCACAGTGGCAAAAGTTGAACTATTTAAAATTTTGACCGCGGTGTGCGCGCCGCTGCTCTTGCACTTTTTTGTTCAACAAAGCAACAAAAACGTCCATTGAAATGAATGGGTTTCATAGCGCAGCATACCGCGTCCTGTTGCAAAAGCATGTGAAAAAAAACCTGCAAAGTTTGCTAGGCCAAAAAAAAAAAAAAACGTTAATCTCGTGATAAAAAAATTAATCGCGTTAAAATGGGTTTGCGTTAACACCATTAATAACAGGTTTAACTGACAGCCCTAATCCATACACATCGAAGTGTTGAGTATTGAACACTAGTAAGGGGTGGTTTAAACCTTTAATCCGTTTGAAACCCGAAACTGGAGCATTCTATAAATGCGCAATGACGTATGTTCCCTTTTTGCCGCGCATGCGCACCAGAACACGTGGAGGCAAGTGCTTTTAAGTACCAACATTTTTAGGGACAGGGACACGTTCAGTTACTTGAGTAGGATTTTCTCCATCCCTGGTAAGATAGCATCATAAGCGTGTTCAATTATTAGGGGTTGCCTAATAGCAATTGATGCGTATGGACCCACAGTTCGGAAATCATGTAACTGATGGTTAATCTTGGCAGTTATTCCAGGAGAGTGAAAGTTTGCCATTTGGACATGTTTTGTTTTGCCAATTAACAAATTTTAATGATTTTAAACGCGGAAAAAGTAGAAATCGGCGCTTGTGCACTGTTTGTGTGCGCTTCGGGTGTGTGAGGCTGTGCACACATAGAGAGAGAGAGGCGGGGTTTCAGAGTGCTTAAACACTGAAATGATTCCTCTTTGGCGTTTACGTTGTACTTGAAAGGACGCATACTTGAGACAGGTATTTTGACAATTGTGTGTGTGTATAAGTAAGTTATAAAAGTTGAGAAACAAATCGGATATGTCAGTGTATTGGGTCTGTGCATTCGGTCCTAGTGACGCAGCATAATAGTCCTGCTGTTGTCTGTGTCATTAATGGTTTTTAAAACACTAATAGGATAAGTGTGCCATGTAAAGTGTGACTACCAGGCAGCGTCTCCAGCTGCTCCCTTGAGAACCAGACCAAAAAAAAGTTGCATGCACCCCTGATAATAATGCATGATGCATCGAACAAGCTGAATATAGTGTCATAAATGTGTCAATATAATATTCTCCTTCTACTCATCGTATGCAAGTTGTGCAAGATAACATTTTGCTTTGGACTCTCATACACGGTTCACACTCTCGTTCACAAACATAGCAATCATACCATAGTTAGTTTTAAATCCAAGCAAACCTGCTGAGTGTGAGCACACCCTAATTAGGGTGGATCTAGTAACTGCTCACCTCTAGGCAACATTTCCTGTTTGTTTGGCAAGTCGACAAAACTAGGTTTAGAACAGAAGCTGATTTCCTGTTTTGTGAGTGATACTGATGTAGATGATTGTACTGTACTGAATTGTGTGTGTTTGTCAGTGTAAGGAGAGGATGAGGCCCGTGAAGGCAGCACTGAAGCAGCTGGACCGTCCAGAGAAGGGTCTGTCTGAGCGAGAGCAGCTGGAACACACGCGGCAGTGCCTGATCAAAATAGGAGATCACATCACGGAGTGTCTGAGAGAATACACCAACCCCGAACAGATCAAGCAGTGGAGGAAGTACGTCATTTCTCATGAGCCTAGTAGAGCTGCGCGATTCAGCGTTAAAACATGGCCAACTCGTTTCAAACGACCACTCGATCTTGCTCCTAAATGAGAACGATTCGGCTCTATTAATCCTTTCACAAGTACGATTGTGCTGAGCAGTTGGTCATGTACAGTATAGGTATGAAACCACTTCATAAACAGTCTTTTCAACAACACAGGATTATTTCTTAAAAATACTCATGTCACAGAAGTACTGGAGTAAAATTGTATAGTTGAGACATAAACACTGATGTCTACTGTAGCGATTGAAATAGAGTAAATCACCTTTTGAACTTTTTATTGGAGCTTTACACCAGTAGGTACGATGAGAGACCGTTACATTTATTTGTCATTGAATCATTCAAATCATTTAAGAGATTCATTCAAAAGCAGTCATTCATCCAGTAAGAAACAAGTGAACTATTTATGAGTGAGTCATTGAATTATTTAAACATTAAAAGTAACACTTTATAATAACTGCACACTATTAATCATTTGTTAAGTATGAGTAAACAGTTAATTCATCATTTATAAAGTATTAATAGACATTAATAAGCAACTTGTAAATAGAGCTATAAATGCTTTTTTTCTTGATTTAAGCATATCGATAATGCGTTTAATAATTGTATTTTCATACTTTGTTAATGATCAGTTAATAATTTCTAAATAAAGTATAGCCTTATTTACAAACCAGTTATTTAAAAGTTGTCGGTCATTTATAAGATCACTTAGAAAGTAGGGGTGTAACGGTACACAAAAATCACGGTTCGGTACGTACCTCGGTTTTAAAGTCACGGTTCGGTACGTTTTCGATACAGCAAAAAGAAAGAAATGCCAGAGAAATGTCCTATTTTTGAATAAGTGAGTTTTCCTACAGTAGATCTTGAAACTTTCAGGTTTATAAATGGGGGTCATCTTTGAAGGATGAACAAATAATGTTTTGGTCATCACATTAAAAATAACATTTAAATATATATTTATTTATATAATATTTGAATTTTGAAGTGCTGGAAAAAGATGTGTGAAGTACTTGAAAGCATTTCACCATTCCAGCCAAACTGGTTCCAGTTAGTGTTACTATATTAAATCCATGGTGAATGTTGCTGGTCTGTGGACGTAAAGTATTACACTAGTTCAATCACGGCACAATGTTTCTCCTGGTTTCCACGACAGCGCTGTTTGATCTAATAGAGATCTACGGTTAATAACGGAGAAATGTGAATTCTTCTCACTAGATCTCGCAGCGATGTTAATACCTCAGTGGCGAATTCAAATGTTTTCTTTACCGGATCTCTTAGCGCTGTGTGTTAATAGTGTTGCTTGATCGAGATCGGCTCGCGCTGCACAGATGTTGCTGGTCCGAACTGATAAACGATCCGTGAAGCACATAACGAGGAGCGCAGTTTCGTTTCGCTTTCATTATGCTTGCCATTTGATGTTGCGCAACGTTGTGTTGGCCGCGTCAGCACGAATTTTGCCGGCAGGAAAAATGGTCCAAGCAATCGTTCGGTTTGTATGCGTACCGAACCGGAAGCCTCGAACCGAAACGGTTCAATACAAATACATGTACCGTTACACCCCTATTAGAAAGTTTAAGTAAATGTAGTTATAAAGCATTTAGTAGTGGTCAGTTTGTGAGCTCATCTAAAGTGAGGACTATTCATGCCTTGTAAAGAAAGGCGATTTAAAGGCTCATCAATCTTCTAAACAGGTAACAAACACAACACAGTGATACAGAACGTAGAAATATTTAACAGCCTTTAAATCTCCTTTATAAATGCTTTACAAGGCATGAATAGTCCTCACAAACATGGTTAACTGACCACTACTATATTCTTTATAACTACCCAAATTAACCCTGAATTACAGCATAAATACATGTTAGAAGAATTTATTAACACACTAAGTAACCATCACTATATGTCTGAATAATAAGATGTATGAATGTACATTTAAACACTTTATTAATCATTTACTTACACACTAAGTAATCTAATGAACCACTGACAACTCTTAAATAACTGGTTTATAAAAAAATGCAATTCTTCATTTAGAAATGATAAATTGATCATTAATAGAGGATGAAAATACAATTATTTAGCAAATTATAGATATGCTTTTAAATCAAGAAGAAAGCATTTATAAACTGATTATTAATGTCTATTAATCCTTTATGATGAATTAACTGTTTACTCATGATTAACTAATGGTTATTAGCGTGTAGTTATTATAAAGTGTTACCATATTGAATTATTTGTTTTTTTTTAAACTTTACAAATATATGTACAATCTTTTAAATAGACGGCAGCAATTAACATTTGTCCAGAACCTCTATTAAATTGCACGTTATTTTGTTCAATGGGCTTTATGCACAGCTGCACTACTTCGTGAATTTCAGCCAGCTCCTTGTTTCCTGTCTGCCATTATTGGCCAAATTGATTAATTCAGGTGTGTCTGATTATTGTTGCCGTGACTACTGAGGTCAAGCAAACCTGAATTAATCAATTTGGACAATAATGACAGACCGGAAACAAGGAGCTGGCTTAAGTTCAGGAAGTAGTGCAGCTGTGCATAAAGCCCATTGTTTATTCTGAATCAAGGGAGAATCATGATCTATTTTAAACCAACAAGAACATTTGTAATTCTTAGTTGATCCAGAATCGTGCAGCTCTAATTCACAGTATATAAATGAAGATCATTTTGAGTTTATCAATATCTTGATTGTTCCTATTTTCCAGAAATCTGTGGATATTTGTTTCGAAATTCACTGAGTTTGATGCCAGGAAACTGCATAAACTGTATAAGCACGCCATTAAGAAACGACAGGAAAATGCTCAGGTATGAACACAACATCTTTGAAAAATTCACTCATGTTTGAATGTTTTTGCTGAATCAGTGTCATATGCTGTAACGCTTGTAATAGATCTCATTATCTTCGTAATCTTTTGATTGAAGTTGATGCTTGTTTAATTTCAGGCAGTGGAACAGAACACTAGCACTGTAAATACACAAAGCTTGAAACACGCAGGTATGTCCATTTATTTGACAGTCTTTTAAATGGGATGTGTCACTACTTCTGTTCAGGGTTCGTACGGGTGCTTGAAATCCTTGAAAATGCTTGAATTTTGATGTTGTGTTTTCAAGGTTTGAAAAGTGCTTAAATTTTGGATAAAATGCTTGAAAGTGCTTGAAATTGTAACTGTTTCTTTCACAACAAATACCTATCTGACTGAATATTTTGTTTATTAAATGGCGAAATAAATCGTTTGCTGCGGCCCGAGCGCGTTTGTTACCGGCGCCCCCCGCAGCGTTGGCCTGGTTTCACACTCAACTTGATTCTATCAAATCCTGGTGCGTTTGCGTGCATCTTACGTCATCACAAACGTGCACGACGCATGATAGAAAACAGAACACGGGTCAATATATTGTGGTGTTATTATGCACAGCTGAGTGAACAACAGGTTTACTGTGTATCGCATTTGGCTCTCTGCTGATTGCAAACGCAGGAGACAGTGGACTTCTAATAATTTGTTAGCCTGAGTCCACACGCTATATGTGTGTGCGAATACACTGTAGACTTACTCTCGTATAACACTATCATCCCTTATACATGTGTTTTTATTTTACATCATAATCAGCTAAAAGTAAAACGCATGCACAGGTCACTTTACTAAGTGCGCATCCGAGTCCTGTCCGTGATTCTTTCACATTCACGCGAACCGCAACATGGTTCGGGAGCAGCCGAACTCGGAGCACCTCCTCCAGGTAGTCTCGGATTCGGTACCTGAGGCAAAATTACTAAATATGCAGCGCGAATTATAAATTTCTAACTCTAAACAATTGGCCTCTGAACCAGCTGATAAAATCTTCATTTGATTCGATCCGTGATACAACCTGACGCTCAAATGAACCGATCGCATTTTACTGATGCAAAGGACGCGCGTGCACACACTGAGAGGGATCTCGGTGTTTCAGTGTGTACCGCGGCTGTGGTAACATATTAAATAATGACGCAGTTACAAGGTGTGTATAATAAACAGTAGGTGTGTATAACTGCTTAGTCAACATTAACAGTAGCTGCTGTACGGTTTTCATACTGCTGCTATCCTTCTAGTCACTTCTGAACTTGACACAACTGATTCTGAACGTCTCTTGAAAGCTCCAGGTACAAAAAGAGCAGAACAAGCCCCTTAAAAAACGAAGTATAATAAGCAGACATGGCAAAAAATGTACCGGGGAACACATTTAAACATAATAGTATTGCTAATATTATCCTACCAAATTAAAAGGAAGTTACTAAATTATTATGAATAGAATAGTTCAAAATAAAATATTTAGATATTATAAACTGATTGATAAGGAAAAAGCAATAACATGAGATTGAAAAATGATTCAGCAACACTTTATTTAAAGTTTAATTGCACCTATGAGTTGTATTTAATATCAGTCAGTTGGGGGAAGTTCTTCTAAAAGTTAATATGTTTTTTTCACTATATTTAGCTATCAAAATAGTTTGCCAAATAAATTATTTGCCAAATAAGAGTCAAACAAGGAAAAGAACTTTTCATTTCTGAAGTATTTGGGTTTATTTAGTATACAAAGCCCTTTATGATGATTTTTGGAGAATAACTACATGTATAAATAACTATAACGTGAAATATATCGTTACCGTAAAATAAAATTAGTCATACCGTGAAACAGAATTTTGGTCATACCGCCCACCCCTACTGCATGTCATTTGGATCAAATCCTCTAACAACATTTTGAAAAATAAAACCTGTGTTTTGCTTCAATATCTGATCCTTCTGCTAATACGAAACACAATTTTGCCTGTTTATTTCATTCTATCTCTTTTAATGTGGAAAAACCGCAAAATAATATTTTTTTACTATGTATTGGTTTGTAATTTACGGTGAATAAGGTCCTGGAAAAAACTTTAAAATGGACCTTGAAAGTGCTTGAAAAGTGCTCAAATTTGACCTTGGAAAAGGTGTACGAACCCTGTCTGTTGCATAACCGCTCTCTGTGAACGTGCGTGACGTTGCGTGCGCTGTGTTGCAGATGTCGAGCGGATCAAGGAGTCACAACAAGACGACAGCAGCAGAGACAGCTACAGCTCTGACAGACACCACTCGTCCCGCTACCATGAGCACAGCAAAGACCGCCACCCTGCAGACATGTACCGCAAGAGCTCGGACTCCCGGAAGAGGCCCTACTCGTCCTTCAGCAACGGCAAAGACCACCGCGAGCGCGAGCGAGACCCGTACACAGACAGAGCAGAGCGACAGGACAGCAGGTCAGGGAACAAGCGTTTGTTTGCAGATGCATCTTTCTCCATTGTGTGAATGGGGTGATTTATGAGTACATGACGTGCATATCATGGCCACAGCTGAAGAATCACATGACTTGACCTGTTCCTTCATTTTAGGTGCATCTTAGAATGAGGTCAAATTAAAATGATGGAACGAATTAGTTCAATGTGGCCTTGATTTACTTAAAGGGTACATGACACACACACACACAGTTTCTAATTATCTAATAATGTTGAGTGTTGCATCCTTCATATTTCTGAAGAGTCTTTAGTTTTATCAGACTTATAAAAGACAGTACCGATTCTTCCTGAAAACAGCCACACTCCCGGAGGCGAGCCGTGGGCGGAGCTAAAGTCAAGCACAATACATCATTGCATGATCACTGCATAACTTCTCATTCACTATACGTGTTGTTTAGATTATATGCACTTGCACGTCGATTGCCAACAAAACAGACATTTGATGCAGTTTCAATCACTGCCTGTGGTGCCGACTCATGACCGGGATCTTTTATCTCTGGGACTGCTCCATCTTTCAGTTTCAAACGATCTGCAAATCCTGCGTGGAACTGAGCCGTGCTAATAAAACATTAACCACTGAAATACCTTCCGAAACTTACGAATCCTGAAGGAGTTCATACGTCCATTTTGTTTTTTGCTACTACTTTGTTAAAGAGTTGGGTTCTCATGCTAAACATGGACAGTGTGAATAAGTCAGAATGCATGAAATCGCATTAGACATCCCCTTTAAAACTGTCAAATGTATGAGTTGACGACGGGGAGGCCTTGAAGTGAGAGGTCCACTGCTGTAGATGACCGATATATCGCAGACGCCTAAACGTGCCGTTTGTTTTATCTACATCAGTTTTTCTTTTTGGCTGATGTGCTGGAATTGAAACTTTTAGTTTGACACTGCTTTTACAGAGGATTTTTCATATTATTAATTATCTAATTATTTCTAATTTAGTAAATGTTTATTCAAATAAATACACGTTTTATTTCAGCAATTGTTGTGTGTTTCATATCTTTAAATTAGTGTGAGAATTTCTGTTTTTTTTGTGTGGTATCAGTAAAAGGTCTTTGTTGTGTCATCATTATCATCATGATGCTGATATGGTAACGTGTGTGTGTGTGTGTGTGGTTCTGCAGATACTACAGCGACAGCAAGCACCGGAAGCTGGACGAGCACCGCTCCAGTCGAGAGCACCGATCCGAGAGCAACTCCAAGGACCGAACGCACTCCGACCACCGCTTCCACTCTGAGCACCGGCCCGGCTCCGATTACACGCATCACAAATCCTCCCGGGAATACCGCTACCACTCGGACTGGCAGGCAGAGCAGAGGACCGGCCCGCGCTCGCCCCGGGACCAGCGCTCGCCCTTCGAGTACTCATCCGACCACAAGAGCACACCCGAACAGGTCTGGAGCGGCCGCAAGACATAGCGCTCTCAACGCACTGGTCCTGATCAGCCATACATTCAAACAGACACACACACACTCTCACACACACAGGAAATGCCTTAGGGGACTGTTGGCCGCTGGGACTCTGGGAGTGCCGCCCTTTCCTACTCACCTCGGAGGACACACAGATTTACACTTATTTTTGTATTTAAGAGTTGGCTGCATTCTTTCGTAGGTGCTGCAGAATAATTTTTTTTTTAATTATTATTTTTATAAATTGACTACTTTCCTTTTTGTTTTTGTTTGTTTATACTTTGAAACAGACGAATCCATGTTTCACTCTCATGTGCGACACTGGATACCGACACACACCCGTAAACGACCGCAGCTTATTTAAGAAGTGTTGAGTGAACGGACGCTACACCGGCGTGTCGTCTTTATCAAGGGTTTCTGTTGTGAAGGACTGGGGTTCACCTTCCAAAGTACCTCGTTTACAGTGTTTTGTGACAATTTTGCCAATTTTTATCTGTAATTTTTCTTTCCATCATGCTTGAATTATTTAAATCTGTCTCGGCTGTAAAATAATCTGGACTGTTTTTAGTGCGCATCAGATAATGTCACTTTTTCACATTGTACTACTGTAAATTATTGTATAAAGTAAATCAAATGGGCTTTTCTCAGGCTGGTATTTTTTTAACTATTTCCCCATCGACTCAGGCTATTTCCTCTCCTTTTTTTTATGTAAGTAGTTTGAATCATGAATTTGGGTAAATATTCCATTTGTATTCATTCTGTAGGAACGTTTTGTTTGTTGATCTCTTTAGTTTATCTGTATTTGTAAGTGAATTAGCCTCACTTTATAATGGCATCATGTCATAGAATACAAACTGTGTAATAAAAAAAGGACATGAAAGGGTCGATCCTAGCTAGAGGCACTTATGAGCTCTCATTAGAACATTTCCATGATAATCTTTCCTCTTGTTTTCTATAAATGTTGGCAATAATGTACTCTTTTCTATGCAGCCCGAGTGTTTTTTCTGCTGACTGGCCCGAGTAAGTCAGAATGCTGTTACAGGACATACTGATGTATATAGATCTCCTTCTATATTTCAAATCCAAATTTACACTGAAAATGCATGGATTTTTAAAGTAATTGTTTTATATAATTGTTTATAAAGTCATTAAACTCAAATCACTGTTTCCACCTGTAATCTGGCTTTAATGTAATTTAGTGTGATTTCTAGCAGTTCTCACTCATTTTTCAGAACATTTTCATTTGCATCGTTCCTCAGAAGCATTTCACATTGAGGTTGGCTGGTATTCGTCTATGAATCCATTTTAAAACGGGTTGGTTTGTGGATAACCGGTTTGGCCTGGGGCCGGTTGCATAAACCGTCTTACATGTGAGTTGTTAGACTGTTCATAACTTTTGCACTCAGTTTGTCTAATAACTACTAGTTGGTCATTTGAATTCTTAAGATAGTCTCAACATAATGCTATATTTATTCAACCAGACCACGTTTAGATTAAGTCTTAGTTCAATTAGGACATTTAAGTATCTTTCATAAACGTGCCTTGCGTCAAACGAGGTTTGGCACCAGCAGCAACTAGAGTAAACTCGTATGTGTTGCTCGTCACCTCAATATGTTGTAATTCCAGGACATTGAGTAGAAGCCATCCAATCAGATTAGATTTGGGCTGCGTCTGAAATCACATACTTTTGTGTAGGTACTTGTCTTAAAAATACTTTGAGTGTGCTAACGTATATTCCATTATAGTATGAACGTAATCTGGATGCACTACACTAACCATGTGACCTACCAGTGTCAGTTGTCACTTACTGTCAATCACAAATCCTCTCCTGTGGCCTCATGGGATAGTAAAATGTCCAATATATATTTCAGAATCTCACCAGAAGTACTGAGTACTGTGAATTCAGACATCTTTTGTCACGCGGTATGCGATTTCAGACGCAGCCTTGGTTTGTCAGCGATGTATTGTCATTCACTCCTTTGACCCTGACCATGTGATGTAGGTGAACTACAACGACGAGCAACATGACGTTTGCTCTGACCTACTCTTTATTGGCTTTCGTACTCGAGTACTCTCTCTCCTTCCCTCCTCACATTGCTTGCGTGCCAACAGATGTGCTGTTTGTGCAGTGAAAACTCTGCTTTAACACCAGCAAACCATAAAACCACAGAATGCTGCTAAAGGAAGAAGAAATGAAGCAGCGTACACGTCACAATCAGTTGTGGATTTCAATGGTTTAATTGATGTCAAATGCATGATACATATGTTTACAGTTCCACTGATATCCTCAGAATAGACATTTTCTACAAACAAAAAACCTTGTCACGCATAAATACATCTTAGAATGAATATGTTAAATAAGAAGCAAGATAAATCATTTGATGACCTATATAGAAGCCAAGGACGTCTACAGGAAAGATGCGGATGTTTACTGAGACTGAAGCATTGCGGGGGGAGCGTCACTCAATTTCTCTAACGTGATTCATGATAAATGCCTTACCTGCTTAACCATAACCATCTTAACTCAGGATTGATGTCATCTAATATGGCTACCACAGTATAAAGACAGTTAGACAATAATCAGCCACTTCCAGTTTTCAAAAATTAAAAATAAGAGCATATAAAGGCAACATTTATTCAGGCAGGTGTCGTCCTGTGGGATAAGACGCAGTTGAAATGGCTGTGGCTTTTAGTAGTTCTTTTTCTCCTCAAAAATAAGATTGGCAGTGGCTTTCTTGGCTGGTGACAGAGAGAAGATGATAAGATTAGCAATCAGTGCATAACTGCTTTTACAAACTAAAGACGCATGCAAGTCATTCTGAAACAACATGCAGAGTTTGGACATATTACATCAGTCAAATCATTGATGAAACATCATGATGATTTATCTATTCCTCAAATCAGAAACAAACTCTACTGGCAAAACACATGAAATGCATCTTGTTTTCACCTTCTTCTTTAATCTTGTCCGCAGCATCTGATGCTTTATCCTTGACGTCTTTCATCACACTGTCAATCTTGACTTCATGCTTTAAGAAGAAGGGGAGGATGATTTTTGTGTAGAGCAGAACGGAGCCGTTGGAGGGGGTGGGAGCCATGCACCAGACCAAGAACACACACTAGAGAGACCAGAACACACACATTATAATACACATAAGATAACAAGTCTTCTGTGTCCACCTCAGTCCATTCACACAGGTGCTTTTCTACCTGAATACTGTGTTTTGATGATATGTGTTCTTTTAGGGATCAAGCACACAGCTAAACACGTTTGGCCTGTATCACCTTATTGAAACTGGAGTCAAAACTTATCAAAATCAGGTTGAATTGTTATTCAGCTGGTCATGACTAGCTATTAGGGGTGTAGCGATGCCCTCATGTCACGATTCGATACAGAACAAGATACTGAACTCACGATATGATATTATTATTGCGATACTCCAAGACATGATAAAAGGTACTGTTGATTAAAAAGCTAAATTTGGTGTTACATTATGTGTGTGTAAGTGAATAGGATGGACTTGATGATGGAAACCCAAAGCACAGGACAATAGAGACACCAGAATAGCAATATTCAAGATTCTGGAGCTGAAAATACTGAATTATTTCAGACGAATATGCTTGATCTCTGTCACTCGATATATTTATAATAATGTAGGACACTTTTACTGATAACAAGACATTTGGTATTATCAGGACCCACAAATATTCCCCCATTGCATTATTATAAATGATATATGGTAGTTTAATGTAGTTCTGACAGTAAAACTCTGAAAACGAGAATATTTTCCCTACACATTTTGCCTGAACTATACAGAATACATATTGTCATTATCCACTACACATATGGTTTAATTTTTGTATTGCGATATATAGCTACACCCCTACAAGCTACTGTGATATTTTCAGTACACCTAAATATTTCAATCTGAAGACGTACAAGAAGTTTGCCAAATTAATAATGTCACTGATGATCCAAAAAACTAAGCACAACTTTCCCAGGACTATTATTAGTCAAATATAGGAATAGGAAAAGATATAAATAGGTTAATAGGAAGCTTCTGGCAGATGTATTGGGCTGGAGCTCAACAGTAAACTCACACCAGTTCAAACACTGCCTTTCCTCTTATAACTTCATGAGTTACTCTCTTATTTTAACTTCTATAACCTGTGCACCATTTGGTGTAGAGAAACAAAATACTTTTTTGAATCTTAAGTGTACTTTTAAATTAGTTACATTTTGGCAATGGACGCCATCTTGGTATTTGTTGAGCGTCTTCATACTGACCTCAACTACTCCACTGGTCTTCAGCGTTCATGAGACTCGCAAGAAGAACGCCACATGAAATTCACTTTGTGTACTAGGACGGACCCCTTTGAAAACAAGATGCGTCTTAAGGGGTTTATCCAAAAGAATCAAAACAAAACACCAATATTCACCTTAATTTGTGTCATGTCGAGTTCTTCTTAGTCTTGATTTCCCACAACTTGTGTGTTTTTCTGTGCGAGACGGAGTGAACTGTTGCGCTTACAGAGTCTCATGAACACACAAAAGCCCAACGGCTGAGGTCAAGAATTTTCATTAAATAACATTAAATCTCAGTCTGTTTTTCACCAAACCTATTTTAAACCCCTAACACTTGGCATCGGGTCGCATCATTCTGTGATACTCTTCTCTAAAGCGCGACACGGGTCACTATTCACTGCCACAGGGTTTGTCGTACAAACATTGTAAAATGAAATTCCAAGACTTTCCAAACACTACTTTTAGGGTTTTCAAGGACAACAATCAGAGATATCACTTATCAAACAATGATACATCTACATCAATATCAGATGAGTGTAAAAAGATTGTCATAAAACGGATAGTTCCAGTCCTTGATTCTGATTGGTTGAGCTGTGTTCGCAGCCGTTGTAAATGACTCAGACACCTGTCAGCGCATTACATTAGTGTTACACACACCTGTTAGCGCATTACATTAGTGTTACATGCACGCACGTGCGCACACACACGCGCACACACACACACCGGTAAGGGTTTTTTAGGTGCTTATTGCTTTATTTTATCGATAAATTTAAACACTATTTTCAAGGGTTTTCCAAGACTTAAATTTAAAAAAGTAAAACTCCAGCACTTTAAACACATTGTAAGAACCCTGCTGCCATTATATGGACGAGCGCGGCATTAAAAAATAAATATATATATATATATATATATCTCTTTGCGGTCCAAAACAAAAAGAATAACATACAGCATTACAACAACACCAGGGTGAGTAAATGATGACTTAATTATCATTTTAGGGTGAACTATCCCTTTAAGTAATAATAATAAATAGGTGAAATATAGTAAAATATGTGATTGTAGAAATATGGCTCAAGTACCTAGCTATTTTTTTTATTAATTGTGAACATCTGCTGTAAGCTTACAGTAATCAGTGGCATGAAATCAAAGAAATCAAATATGGCGACTAATCCCTGTACAAAAGCTCTGCAGAAACCTGTGATAAATCTATATCAGCAACTGATGTGACAAGACTACAGGTTCTCATTACTAAAGAAATACATGCATTGCGAACAACAATATCATGCGCGGTCCAATACCTTTCCCAAGAAGTAGAAGGGGAACCAGGAGAGGAAGATGTCAGCGAAGAACTCGGCGACGCTGAACACACCGTACACCACCCAGTAGGTCAGCCATTTGGTGTCGTCCTCTTTAGTGGCGCTCTCGATGGCTTTGATTCTGCGGACACATCAAAAGTCACACACACAGTCGGACAAAAGATGTTTCGTCTACTAATGTCAGATAACGGGCAGAGGAGAAGGGATCTGAGGGTAGACCAGTGAAACTCATAACTGCTATTTTAACCCTGTAAAGCCTGACATTTATGAGATCATAGTCAGTTTTCTATTTTTATTGAAACTTTAGACGAAAAAAGAACTCAGTTTATAATCAAATTTGACACATCAGGCATTTATGGCTCATATAGTATGATAACGTGAGAATATGGAGCTCGAGGAAGAAAAGTGCAAATGGTGATGCTTATATTCACAAAGATGTAATGTGTAATGCGATGAGATCTTAACAGAATAGCAGAATACTGACATACAAGCATATAAATATCAATCACTCTATACCTGACAATAATGTCTTAGTAAGATGATATTTCAATGCTTAGTTTTATGTATTTAATGCAATGCAATGTAATGAAACCTTCATCAAAAGCCTGATGATCATATTTGCGACTCATGATTTTACTATAAAATAATAATCAAGTAAACCAAAGTTGCTTCAGTCCAGTTAATGTTAAGTTTGAAATATTACTTACAATTTAAAAGTTATTATTACATTAACTTGATAAAATTAGGTCAGATTTGACAGCAGAAAGATATGAAGGAGGAGCTACCAATCAGATGACAGAGGAAATGTAGAGGGTTGAGTAAAACAGGCTTTTCAGCAAGTTTTGATCGTTTAGAGACGTGCGTGTCGAATATGCTACACAGGCTTCATTGAGGTAAGAGGAACTGAGGCTGGAGTCACGAGGCCTTCTGTGGTCTAGCGTCTTCAACCCCGAACTGCCTATCGCACCATCACACAAGATCAATCCTGTTTACAAATACATTCATAACATTGCGTTTTATGTATTCAACATTCTAATCATTGAAATATGTACTTCCTTGAATCTGCACTAAATGCTATGGTGCCCTGTGAATAAAATGTTGATAATTATTAGCAAGTTTTAATAATATTATTATATTTAACTACATTGCTAAATTCTACGGTACAGCAGTAATACATTTCTGCAATTTAATTCAGTAATATAATCATTCAGTAATACATCACAAACGGTGGCCATTGACATAATGGGGGAAAATATACAATGGGGTCTATTAACTGTTCGGTTCCCAGCATAATTCAAAATATCTTCTTTTGTGTTCAGTAGAACAAAGAAATGTACACAGGAAGGATAGAACATGAGGGTGAGCAAATGATGACGATTTTCATTTTTCAGGTGAAATAGCAGCTATCCCTTTAACATAAATTTGACCTAATAAGCAATATCTTCTGCCTACTCCTTTTTATAATCAGTTGTAATCAGATATTCGACGATAAACATAAGGTTTTGAAGGAAATGTACATGTTTTGCCGTGTACACTTCCTGCTGCGTACTACTAAAGAGTGCGCGCCGTTACGATGACGTCAGCGGTCCGTAACCGCGACGTCGATGACGCAACTACCCGCGGCGTGACGCCAGAACAAACAAAAAGATCGATTACAGTTTTAACTCACGATATATACGCAGGGTAGACGAATCCAATGAGATTACAAAGAAGAGAAGCGCCGTATCCGATCACCAGATAGACTGCAAGGAACGCGATGACAGCTGCAAGACAAAAGACAACATCAGCCTACTATCACTCTGATCCAATACAAAAACCCTATTCTTGGTTAAACAGCATTGTAGCTACAGAGTAAACCGTTGAAGCGGTTGTTTTTCTCCTGATCTGACGTGTCCAACACGACACATGTGTTCCTGATTAATACTCACCATAAGCGATATAGGACCTGTCCACGCCAGTTCTCGCCTCTATCTTCGAGAGCACGTCCGTCATGACATTTTTCTCCCGGAGGAACTTGTCGAAACGCTCTTTTAGCGCGAACGCCATGATTTGTCTGGATTGGTGATTGTTTAATATAGTATGAACAGCAGCTCAACTCCTGCTGTTCTCAGTTCAGTGTGACTTGCACGCCGAGGTTGTGACGTCACGACGGCACTTCCGCGACCACACCCTTCATATAACGGTGTAAAATGACAGCTGTAAGGAAGAACGCCCTGTAAATGTAAAATTAAATTTTAAACTGAAAATATGTGTAGAAATATATTCATAATGGCTTTGACTGCAAGAGAGGTGAGGTCGAATACATAGAAGATATCCTTTTCACAAATTAGACAGGTGTTTAAATTTAATTACATTTATTTATTATTATTTATTTTTTTTGCAAAAAAAAAAAATACATTCATAGCGTTGCACTTCACATACAAACTGCAGGTTCCAATCGTTTCATTGTTCAATGAACTTCTTCGTGATTGGCTTGATGATGTCAATCGTGTAAAAGAGTGACTGTGATTGGTCAGGAGTTTCCGTTCACGGGCTTTCGATCCCGCCTCCTGAACGCAAGAGTTGTTCATGAATTTGTATTTTTAGCTAGTTAGCATGTTAGCATCAGTGTCGTCGTAATAAATTCACAGCACTTCGTGCCCTTTTATGGGTAGTATTTGAATAGTACAGAACCATGTTATTTAGCCACATATTATAAATGTGAAGCACGCAAGTGTTGGTGCCTGCGCAGTTTTTAACGCATTAGTTTTGCTTGTTCGGGATGTTTTTACCCTTAACATGGAGGCAAAGAGATGGGAGATTCCTAACGGCTTACTGGATGACCTTTGCAGGTAAACCAATAGCTTATTCACACCATACGGTGTGTTTAATAAAAGTACCTGTACGTTTAATATGGACTTATATCAGTTTAAGGCGGTCGAATAGCAGTCTTTGTTACGTGGTCATCTAATGGACTCAGCGCTGTTTGATCGAAGGCTGTGTTGCAATCGGTATTAAACTCCTGCGGCAAGCAGTGTTCGGGGTGTCGTGGGCATCCCCGTCCCGACTCGAGTGCAGTGCAGTTTTGCCCGTCGAGAGTGTATGAGTCTGCAGCGCATATTTGTATTTCAGGTGCGCGCTCCTGTCAGCTCTGGGCGCGTGCCAGGTCAGCTGTGTTTTGACTCCAAATGCGAGTAACAGCAACTGTTTCCAAAATCTGATGAAGATGATGCTGCTAATGGTTATTGTTGCTGATATATTCTAAAGATTTGAACTAAATGGACAATTGACTAACTACGTAGAACTACTTCCGGGTTCGGTTCTAATTGATACAACAACAACAACATGAGGGAAAATCAGCTAATGAGTGAGGGAACATGCTAGCGAAAGGTAGATCCTAGTGCTGACAAGTGATGAAAGAGAATGAAAAATTTGCCATCATTTACGCACCCTCGATCTGTTTTAAACATGTATTTTTTCTTCTTTTGATCATAAAAGTAGATATTTTGAATAATATGGTTAACCAAACAGGCCCAAGACCCCATGACTTAAATGGTTTTTTTTTCCTACAATGGAAGTCAATGGGGTACATCAATGTGTTTACCCATATTCTTCAAAATATCTTATTTTGTGTTCAGTAGAAGAAAGGAATGTATACAGGCTTGGAACAACTTGAGGGGGAAATAGGTAAATAAATGATGACAGATTTTGAGTGAACTTAATGTGCATCAAAATTTCTTGAAGTCTTCATTACGAGCTTGTTGCATTCAAGTGTTCCGTTATTGGAAAGAACAGGAATCATGGAGGGGACCTGGTTTAGTCCTGCCTGTTTTTGGGTAAATCTTATTAAAGCCAAAATGATATTTAGTGTCCCATTAATTGACACAACATGCATATTTACCATGCTTATCTTAATCAATGGTCTCAAACTCAATTTCTGGAGAGCCACAGCTGACCCCCTGAAGCTTCTAGTAGTCTTGAAGACTTTGATTAGCTGGATCAGGTGTGTTGGATTAAGGTCGGAGCAAAACTGTGCAAAGTGTGGCTTTCCAGGAATTGTGTTTGAGACCACTGATCTAGATAGTCGTTTTGCTGACAATTGTGGATATTTTGTCAAATACAGACTATTTTCACTGTACAAAATGCTTCAAAATTTGAAGCGAAAAATAGCCTGTATTTGACCACTTAAATAATCATTTGAAGATCAAATGATTATTCTTGTGTAAACATGCATTACTTTAATTACAAGACACGATGATGTAGCTGTTGTGAAAAACCTAATAAAGAATAGCAGTCACAGCAGCAATGATTCTCCCCGCCGCCTTGCTTAAAGTTTGTGGCCCATCCAACACGAGTATCAACACTATCCCAGAGCTTCCCATTGGTAAATACGACTTAAGAGGGCGTTCATGTCCAATTTTTAACTAGAAAACTCGTATGTACAGTAATTCCAATAGTGACTTTTAAGGTTATCTTCGCTTTCCACCTGTTGGTTCTTCAGAAAAGTATCATGCTATATTATTTATGAGTATGTCACAAAGCTCAGTGCAAGACAAGTAGTCCATTTTGTTGAACATATTTCATCATTAAATGTGCTGTTGGCTTATGATGTGGGCTTCATGTTTTCAGTATTTTCGGTGCGTGTGATGATTTTGTTTTGTGTCCTGTAGTCGCTTCATTCTTCACATCCCCAGCGAGGAGAGGGACAATGCCATCAGAGTCTGCTTCCAGATCGAGCTTGCCCATTGGTTTTACCTGGACTTCTGCATGCAGAATTCACCAGGATTACCTCAGTGTGGGATAAGAGACTTTGCCAAGGCTGATATCCTAAAGAGATCTTTGTGTAATGTTTCTCAAAGAGAGTGTATTAGTTTGCCTGTTTTGAGTCTTAGAAAAGGGGTTTGGGCGCTGCTGGAAGACTTGGTGAACATTCATTAAAACATAGACTAAAGGCCTGTTCACAACAAGGATGATAACTACATAATAATTGTTCTATTACCATGAGAATAGGGAAGTCCACAGCACAGCTTTAACCATAACCACAGAGAGGAGCGATATCAGTTAAATAATTTTCAGAATGATAAAAAAAGACATTGACAGCCATTCAGAATCTACTTCCAAAACCCAGTCAATTGGCTCATTTAAACGAATAAATGCGTTGGTATGTATGCAAATATATTTATTGTTATCGTTCTTTACGGTAATCGTTCTAAGTGTGATTAGGATTTAAATTTTCTTAAATCTTTTTTTAACTGTGGTGCAGGTGCCTTCTTGATCAAATGTAAAGTATTATAATCGGGCATCAGAAAATCTTGAAGCATGCTAAGTATTAATGATAAATGGGGATGAATTGTTGTTTGATCAAAATTGAGTGATGAAATAATTGCTCTCACACTAAACCGCACGAGCCGATTGAACACAGAGTGGCTTATTACATGTTTCCTTGAGCCGAATATCACACTGGAGATCCACAAATCCCAACACACAAATACATTTGTAGCTCATGTAAATGCAGCAGAAGTGCTGCAAAATCCAGAAAAACAAAGCAAAAAGATGAGAGAGTGCATAATCTGTAGCTGGTCTGATCGGGTCAATCATCGGGTAAATTTTTTATATAATTTAGGATCCTCAGATCTGTGGTGCTTGTAAGATTATATATGCGATAAATGAGTCCTGGATTCAAATCCAGCTGCGCCTTAATGGGAGGGAGTAGGTGATGCCGGAAGGAACAAAAATTGTCATAAAAAATATCCCTGCACCTCTAATGCCAAAAAAGCAGTGTCGGAATAGGACAACAATTAGAGAAGACAAACATAAATAGTGATGAAAGCTGAAATATTAAATGTTATGGATGAATATTTGTAGAGGGGGATCAAAAGACAATTTTACCTGAGATTTGGAGCCAAAATACAGGGGTGTAAAAAACGACGTCAAAACGGCATGGTGATTGGTAGTTAAATCGGTTTAATTTAGCTATCTTTGTTGCCTTATATGCCAACATTGACCGTTAAAAAATATGTTTAAAAAGGTATGTTATGCTTTGTATTTTGATAGAGGGAAACAAGATACATTTCTAGTTTCAACATTAGTTCTTTAAAAGAAAATAAGTGTCAGCAGTATGCTGTGACTCATATTTGGTTTTTGACCCCTGAAAATATGTACAATTGACTAGTTTACAGAATTTAATAATCGATTAGGAATAGGATGACTATAGAGCTGGTAAGTCCCGCCCATCCGTAAAACTCCAAGTGGACCTCTAGGTTGAAAAAGCGTCAATGCAAGTGAATGAGAGAAAATAATTGTTTTCTGATCCCGTTTGAATTGTGCCATGAATGTAACATATGTTGTCTGTGATTTTTTTTTTTGAAATATAATTTATCATGTAATGAGTTTGACAGTATATTGTATGATTCTTTGGCTAGCAGTTGTGGAATAGACATAACGAGAAAGACTACACGTCGCGTATGTGACGTCGCTGCATAACACATTTTCTCTCCACAAATCACGGTTTTCACCACGCTCACCTAGTTTGTCCTCTCCCTGAAAGAAGACGGTGAAGTGCACCAAAGACACAGGCATGTTTAGCGGGATCCGTGTGCTAGTGGGTGTGATGTATATCAAACACGTCGAAAGAGTTGTAGTCCACAAAGTGCTCTCACACAAAGTCTAACCGTATGAAAATTCTACCCGCTAAATTGTAGCATTCTTTACTTGAAACATTATATAAAAAATTCACAGACAACATATGTTCACAATCATTGCAAAATTCAAACGGGATTAGAAAATAATTATTTTCTCTCATTCACTTGCATTGACGATTTTTCAACCTAGAGGTCCAGTGGGGCTAGAGGAAGGGGCGGGACTTACCAGCTCTTTAATAATACCCTGTTTGTTGCAGAGGCCGTGTCAAAATACACACACACTCGCAGCAGAGACACATCATTTCCTCATTCTCAAGCCGTGGTGGCATTACTACTACCTCTCATGACATCATAGCAGTCTCTTTTAGGCAAGTCCTTTCACTTGGGGGCCATCTTTGAAATGCCTCTCGGACTGATGTTTCAGTTGTGCAACTCTCATCTCCTTGAATGGGGAAACATCAAATTCTCCAAAGCTGTTTATCAAGCTTATGATCAACTGTATAATGAAGATGCTCAAATCATGAAGAT